CACCGCGCCCGGCCTGCTTTCACATTTTTAAAAGCACTCGTTTTTACATTTTCTCTTCAAAATGATAAAATGTGAAATTTTGTTTTTGTTTTTGTTTTTGTTTTTTTGAGACGGAGTTTCACTTTTGTTACCCACGCTGGAGTGCCATGGCGCGATCTCCTCTCACCGCAACCTCCGCCTCCTGGGTTCAGGCAGTTCTCCTGCCTCAACCTCCTGAGTAGCTGGGATTACAGGCATGCGCCACCATGCCCAGCTAATGTTTTGTATTTTTAGTAGAGACGGGGTTTCACCATGTTGACCAGGATGGTCTCGATCTCTTGACATTGTGATCCACCCGCCTCAGCCTCCCAAAGTGGTGGGATTACAGGCTTGAGTCACTGCACCCGGCAAAATGTGAAATATTGATATTATCCGTGTATTTTCTTGCTTTTTTTTTTTTTTTTTTTTTTTTTGAGACGGAGTTTCGCTCTTGTTACCCAGGCTGGAGTGCAATGGCGCGATCTCGGCTCACCGCAACCTCCGCCTCCTGGGTTCAAGCAATTCTCCTGCCTCAGCCTCCCGAGTAGCTGGGACTACAGGCGTGCACCACCACGCCCAGCTAATTTTTGTATTTTTAGTAGAGACGGGGTTTCACCATGTTGACCAAGATGGTCTCGATCTCTTGACCTCGTGGTCTACCTGCTTCGGCCTCCCAAAGTGCTGGGATTATAGGCTTGAGCCACTGCGCCTGGCCCAGTGTATTTTCTTTTTTCTTTTCTTTTTTTTTTTTTGAGACGGAGTTTTGCTCTTGTTACCCAGGCTGGAGTGCAATGGCGTGATCTCGGCTCACCGCAACCTCCGCCTCCTGGGTTCAGGCAATTCTCCTGCCTCAGCCTCCTGAGTAGCTGGGATTACAGGCACGCGCCACCACGCCCAGCTAATTTTTTGTATTTTTAGTAGAGACGGGGTTTCACCATGTTGACCAGGATGGTCTCGATCTCTCGACTTCGTGATCCACCCGCCTCGGCCTCCCAAAGTGCTGGGATTACAGGCATGAGCCACCGTGCCTGGCCCCAGTGTATTTTCTTAATTAAATTTTTGCCATGGCCGGGCGCGGTGGCTCAAGCCTGTAATCCCAGCACTTTGGGAGGCCGAGGCGGGTGGATCACGAGGTTGAGAGATCGAGACCATCCTGGTCAACATGGTAAAACCCCGTCTCTACTAAAAATACAAAAAATTAGCTGGGCGTGGTGGCGCCTGCCTGTAGTCCCAGCTACTCAGGAGGCTGAGGCAGGAGAATTGCTTGAACCCAGGAGGCGGAGGTTGCGGTGAGCCGAGATCGCGCCATTGCACTCCAGCCTGGGTAACAAGAGCGAAACTCCGTCTCAAAACAAAACAAAACAAAACAAAAAAAACTGTTAGGAGTAGTCCGTAAATATAGCTGATAATTCATAGTGTCTGTCTTACTAATGATGTTTGAAAAATGGAGATAAATATATTCCATGCTCTTTCATGTATATTTATACTAGCTTAAATTTGCAGGGTGTTTTGTTTGTTTGTGAGAAATGATCTCACTCTGTCATCCAGGCTGGAGTGCAGTGACATGATCATAGCTCTTGTTTAAAGTATCCTAACCCTTAAAAATATATTGTTTTCCTTATCTGTTTATAGTTATTTTTTTGTAGGTCCCAGGATTTAAGAATAACATTTTATTTTTAGTATTTATGTTTTTTTTAATTTTATTTCTTTTTGAGACAAAGTCTTGCTCTGTCCCTCAGGCTGGAGTGCAGTGGCGTGATCTCCCTTCACTGCAACCCTCCGCCTCCTGGGTTGAAGTGATTCTTGTGCCTCAGCTTCCCGACTAGCTAGGATAACAGGCACCTGTCACTGTGCCTGGCTTATTTTTATGTTTTTTAGTACAGATGAAATTCCGTCATGTTGTCCAGGCTGGTCTTGAACCCCTGACTGCACGTGATCCATCCGCCTCAGCCTCCCAAAGTGGTTTATAAGCATGAGTGACCACACCCAGCCTAAGAATAACATTGTAAAGATAGAATAATGATCAAAAAAGATGTACTGGTATATAGTGTCTTTCTTACTACTGATGTTTGAAAAATAGAGGCATGTAGATTCCATGCTTGATCATGTATATTTATAGTAGCTTAAATTTGCAGGGTGTTTTGTTTGTGAGAAAGGATCTCACTCTGTCATCCAAGCTGGAGTGCAGTGGCATGATCATAGCTCACTGCAGCCTGTAGCTCCTGGGCTCCAGCAATCCTCTCATCTCAACCTCCTGAGTAGCTGGAACTACAGGTGTGCACTACCATGCCCAACTCTTTTTATTTTTTTGTGGAGACAGGGTTTTGCCTATGTTGTCAGGTCTGGTCTTCAACTCTTGGGCTCAAGTGATTCTCTTGCCTTGGCCTCTCAAGAGTGCTGGGATTACAGGCTTGAGCCACTGTACCTGGCTTGTTTCTTTTTTTCTTTCTTTTTTTTTTTTTTTGAGACGGAGTTTCGCTCTTGTTACCCAGGCTGGAGTGCAATGGCGCGATCTCGGCTCACCGCGACCTCCGCCTCCTGGGTTCAGGCAATTCTCCTGCCTCAGCCTCCTAAGTAGCTAGGATTACAGGCACGCGCCACCACGCCCAGCTAGTTTTTTGTATTTTTAGTAGAGACGGGGTTTCACCATGTTGACCAGGATGGTCTCGATCTCTCAACCTCGTGATCCACCCACCTCGGCCTCCCAAAGTGCTGGGATTACAGGCTTGAGCCACCGCGCCCGGCCTTGTTTCTTACTTAGAAACAAAAAACAGGTTTCATCTATTTGAATATACATTTTTTTTTTTTTTTTTTTTTTTTTTTTTGAGACGGAGTTTCGCTGTTGTTACCCAGGCTGGAGTCCAATGGCACGATCTCGGCTCACCGCAACCTCCGCCTCCTGGGTTCAGGCAATTCTCTTGCCTCAGCCTCCTGAGTAGCTGGGATTACAGGCACGTGCCACCATGCCCAGCTAATTTTTTGTATTTTATGTAGAGACGGGGTTTCACCATGTTGACCAGGATGGTCTCGATCTCTTGACCCTGTGATCCACCCACCTCGGCCTCCCAAAGTGCTGGGATTACAGGCGTGAGCCACTGCGCCCGGCCTCCCTAAAATTATTTTTAAAACCTGGGGGACTCCTTTCCATGTCAATACATTTACAGCTTTGTCTGATTTCCAAAAGTTACATACTATTTTGTGTATTATTATGTAGAGGTTATTTAAATACGATTATCAACAAAATTGCATTGAACATCCTATATAGACATCTTTGTCCCTTTTCTTGATTTCCAGTTAATTTCCCAGAAATCGAATTGTTTTATGAAAAGGTTATATACATTTTAGTATATCTTTCAAGATTATCCTTGAAAGATACACTACCTTGGCTGGGCACAGTGGCTCATGCCTATAATCCCAGCACTTTGGGAGGCCGAGGTAGGCAGATTACCTGAGGTCAGGAGTTTAAGACCAGTCTGGCCAACAGGGCGAAACCCTGTCTTTACAAAAATAAAAAAATTAGGCTGGCGTGGTGGCATGCACTTGTAATCACAGTTGGTTGGGAGGGTGAGGTGGAAAGAACTGCTTGAACCTGGGAGGCAGAGGTTGCAGTGAGCCGAGGTTGAGCCACTACACTCCAGTCTGGGTGACAGAGTGAGGCACTGTCTCGGCTTATGCTTGTAATCCCAACATTTTGGGAGGCCAAGGCAGGTGGATCACTAGGTCAGGAGTTTCAAGACCAGCCTGGCGAAGATGGTGAAACACTGTGTCTACTAAAAATAAAAAAAAATTAGCTGAGCTTAGTGGCAGGTGCCTATAATCCCAGCTACTCGGGAGTTTGAGGGAGAGAACTGCTTGAACCTGGGAGGTGGAGGTTGCATTGAGCTGAGATCACACCTCTGCACTCCAGCCTGAGTGATAGAGCAAAACTCCGTCTCAAAAAAATACAAAATTAAAAATAAATAAAAAAATACTACCTCATACTCTTATCAACAGCATGAGAGAAACGAGAGACTGCCTTAAAATGATAAAATAGAGGGGCCGGGCGCGGTGGCTCACGCCTGTAATCCCAGCACTTTGGGAGGCCGAGGCAGGTGGATCACGAGGTCAAGAGATCAAGACCATCCTGGTCAACATAGTGAAACCCCGTCTCTGCTAAAAATACAAAAAATTAGCTGGGTATGGTGGCGCGTGCCTGTAATCCCAGCTACTCAGGAGGCTGAGGCAGGAGAATTGCCTGAACCCAGGAGGCGGAGGTTGCGGTGAGCAGAGATCGCGCCATTGCACTCCAGCCTGGGTAACGAGTGAAACTCTGTCTCACAAAAAAATAAAATAAAATAAAATAGAACGTTATATTTCTAATTTTCTCATGTTATATATATATTTTTTCTTTTTTTTGAGATAGAGTCTCGCTCTGAGGCCCAGGCTGGAGTGCAGTGGCACGATCTCAGCTCACTGCAACCTCTGCCTCCTAGGTTCAAGTGACTCTCCTGCCTCAGCCTCCCAAGTAGCCAGGACAACAGGCATGTGTCACCAGACCTGGCTAAGTTTTGTGTTTTTAGTAGAGATGGGGTTTCACCATCTTGGCCAGGCTGGTCTCGAACTCCTGACCTCAAGTGATCCTCCTGCCTTGGCCTCTCAGAGTGCTAGGATTACAGATGTGAGCCACCCTGCCCAGCCTATATTCTGTTGATGAAGGATTGTTCTGTTTGTTTAGTGTAAGTACACTGTTAATACTGTTAATATTTCTTTTCTTTTTTTTTTGGTGCCGTGACTTGGAGTATTTCTTCTTGATTTGGAGACTGAAGAAAAATTTGAATCTGTGTGTCAAATGGAGCTGATTTTTCGCTAGGAATTTGAGTCTCAGAACTTTGGATTTTGTTGGGAGTGATGATTATACTGATTTACTGAAATTGATATAGTAGTTATTTTGGTAATATTTTGAATGAAGTAGTTGTAAAAACAATTCTATATATTTTCTTTAGAGTTCAGTTCTCCCAAAATTATAAAAGCAGGAAAACTCAAGACAAAGAAATCCAGCAAGGTATGTCTTTATAGGAAATAGTTCTTAACTGTATTGATTTTTTAAAATAGTGGCTAAGAACTCTTAGGTTATTATAAGTGTATTTTTCTTCTAATTGTATTATTGATATTAGCTTAAAGTTAGTATTATGGAGAGCCTTTATCCAAACCTCTATATATATGTCTTTGCTATCGTGTGTAACTCAATAATGTCGTAAATAGTGGTGAAAGCTTTATTGTAAGATCAAGGAGTTCTTATTTCAGAAAGTTCCATTGTTTGGAGAAACTTTGGATTACTTTGGCAGATGCCTTCATGTAACTGAATATAAATGATTATTAAAACTCCTTTCATTTTTAGAAAATGTTTTTCTTCTTAAAGTTTCTAAAACTAATTTGCAGACATAACACTTATTTGTTACTTCTTAGGCTAGTTATTTCAGCGATATGGAGAATTGGCCAACACCAAGTGAATTAGTGAACACTGGAGTGAGTATTAAAGTTTTTTTTTTTTTTTTTAAAGGAAAATATGTTCATTTCAACATGTAGAATTTTATTTTACTTAAAATGTAAAGAATTGTCATAGTGGCAGACAGATTTATTTTTTATTTGTTTGAGACAGGGTCTCGCTGTGTCTTCATGCTGGAGTGTACTGGTGTGATCACAGCTCATTGTAGCCTCAAATTGCTACCTCAGGTGATCTTCCTACCTCGACCTCTGGAGTAGCTGGGACTGCAGGCATGCAGCACGGTGCACAGCTATTTTTGTATTTTTTATAGAGATGGGATTTTGTTGGTCTCCAACTCCTATACTCAGGTGATCCTCCTGCCTGAGCATCCCAAAATGTTGGGATTACAGTTTAAGCCACCAGCAAATCTTCTTGATCATCAAGATTTCATTTTATTAGTTTAATTTGCAGTTATCCTTTGATGCTGCCAGTAGTATTAGTAATGAACTTAAGCTTTACTCATGGTAGGCTTAACCTTACCTATTATTTCTTTCTTTCCTTCTTTTTTTTTTTTTTTTTTTTTGAGACTGAGTCTCACTCTTGTTGCCCAGGCTGGAGAGCAATGGTGTGATCTCTGCTCACTTCAATCTCTGCCTTCCAGGTTCAAGTGATTCTCCTGCCTCAGCCTCTTGAGTAGCTGGGATTACAGGCATGCACCACCACATCTGGCTTATTTTGTATTTTTAGTAGAGATGGGGTTTCTCCATGTTGGTCAGGCTGGTCTTGAATCACTGACCTCAGGTGATCTGCCTGCCTTGGCTTCCCAAAGTTCTGGGATTACAGGTGTGAGCCACTGCCCCTGGCTCTCTCTCTCTCCCTCCCTCTGCCTTTCCCTCTCTCCCTCCCTCTCTGCCTCCCTCCCTCTCCCTTCTTTTTCTTTCTTTCTTTTTTTTTTTTTTAAGACAATATCTCGGCTGGGCGCAGTGGCTCAAGCCTGTAATCCCAGCACTTTGGGAGGCCGAGGCAGGTGGATCCCAAGGTCAAGAGATCGAGACCATCCTGGTCAACATGGTGAAACCTCGTCTCTACTAAAAATACAAAAAAGTAGCTGGGCATGGTGGCACGTGCCTGTAATCCCAGCTACTCAGGAGGCTGAGGCAGGAGAATTGCCTGAGCCCAGGAGGCGGAGGTTGCGGTGAGCCGAGATCGTGCCATTGCACTCCAGCCTGCGTACCAAGAGCGAAACTCCGTCTCAACAACAACAACAACAAAAGACAATATCTCACTCCATTACCCAGGCTGGAGTACAGTAATACAGTCACAGCTCACGGTAGTCTCGGCCTCCCAGGCTCAGGTGACCCTCCACCTTTACCTCCTAAGTAGCTGGGACTGCAGGTATGCACCACCACACTGGCAGATTTTTAATCTTTTTGTAGAGATGAGGTTTGGCCATGTTGCCCAGGCTGGTATCGAACTCCTGAGCTCAAGTGATTGGCTCACCTCAGTCTCCCAAAGTGCAGGGATTATAGGCGTTAGCTACCATGTCTTGTCTATTTCTGTAATAATGAAGACATGTTACAAGTTGTAATCAAAATTTTTTATTTGTATAAAATCACATAGATTGATAAACAGTTGCTGAAAACTTGGCAGCTATCCATTCGATAGTTTTACCTACTTTTCAGATAACCCAATTTCATTAATCACATTTCCCTCATCTGGTTGTGTTCTTCTTCTTTTTTTTTTTTTTGAGATGGAATCTTGCTCTTTTGCCCAGGCTGGAGTGCAGTGGTGTGATTTCAATTCACTGCAACCTCCGCCTCCCAGGTTTAAGTGATTCTTCTGCCTCAGCCTTCTGAGTAGCTGGGATTACAAGCAACCTGCCACCACACTGGGCTAATGTTTTCTGTATTTTTAGTAAAGATGGTGTTTCACAATGTTGGCCAGGCTAGTCTCTAACTTCTGATGTCAAGTGATCCACCCACCTCGGCCTCCTAAAGTGGTGGGATTACAGGCGTGAGCCGCCGCACCCGGCCTCATCTGGTTGTATTCTTCAGAGGTAACCTTATATTTGCAATTTCTGCCATTTTATATATGTGGAAGCATTCAGTAGGTACTCTTTTTTTTTCTGACTTCTGCTCAGTATGATTATTTTGGGATTTACTTGTTTGTCAGCAGTTCATTCCTTTTTCTTGCTGAATAGTATGGATGTAACACAGTTTATTAATTCACCTATTGTTAATGGACTTTTGGATTAATTTTGGGTTTTGGCCGTTACAGATAAAACTGCTCTATGAACATTTGTGTAGAAAATTTTGCATAAATATAGGCTTTCTTTTTTTCTTGGATATATAACTAGGCTGGATCATATAGTAGTATCTGTTTTAGCGTTGTAAGAAACTGCTGAATTTGCACTTCAATCAGCAGTGTATGTGAATTCCAGGTACTTCACGTCTTCACTCATGTTCTTTTTTTTTTCGTTCTTGAGACCAGGTCTTACCTTGTCACCTGGGCTGGAGTGCAGTGGCGTGATCTCAGCTCAGTGCAGCCTTGACTCCTGGGCTCAAGTGATCTTTCCACCTCAGCCTGGCAAGTAGATGGGACTATAGGCATGGGCCACCTTGCCTGGCTAATTTTTTTGTGTGTTTTTTATAGAGATGGGCCATGTGCCCAGGCTGGTCTCGAACTCCTGAGCTCAAGTGATCTACCTGCCTTGGCCTCCCAAAGTGCTAGGATTACAGATGTGAGCCACTGCGCCCATCTTTACTCACTTTTAATACAGTTAGTTTAAAAATTTTTTTTTAGCTATTCTAGTAAGTATAGAATGGTATCCCATTGCAGTTTTAGTTTGCATTTTTCTGATGAATGATGACAATCATCTTTTTATAGATTTCCCATCAATATATCTTTTTTGTTTTGTTTTTTTTTGTTTTGTTTTGTTTTGTTTTTTGAGACGGAGTTTCGCTCTTGTTATCCAGGCTGGAGTGCAATGGCGCGATCTCGGCTCACCGCAGCCTCCGCCTCCTGGGTTCAAGCAATTCTCCTGCCTCAGCCTCCTGAGTAGCTGGGATTACAGGCATGTGCCACCATGCCCAGCTAATTTTTTGTATTTTTTTTTTTTAGTAGAGACGGGGTTTCACCATGTTGACCTGGATGGTCTCGATCTCTTGACCTTGTGATCCACCCGCCTCGGCCTCCCAAAGTGCTGGGATTACAGGCTTGAGCCACTGCGCCGGGCAATATATCTTTTTGATAAAGTATCTGATCAATCTTGCCCATTTAAAAAAAAAATGGAAGGCTGGATGTGGTGGCTCATGCCTGTAATCCCAGCACTTTGGGAGGCTGAGGAGGGTGAATCATTTGGTGTCAGGAGTTTGAGACCAGCCAGACCAGCATGGCCAAACCCCGTCTCTACTAAAAATACAAAAATTAGCCAGGTGTGGTGATATGTGCCTGTAATCCCAGCTACTAGGGAGGCTGAGGCAGGAGAATCGCTTGAACCCAGGAGCTGGAGGCTGCAGTGAGCTAAGATCATGCCACTGCACTCCAGTGTGGGTGATAGAGTGAGGCAATGCCCCCCCCACCAAAAAAAAGTGGAATTGATTTTGAAAGTTAGTTCATTATGTATTTTAGCTACAAGTTCTTTATCAAATACTTTCTCCTAGTCTGCAGCTTGACTTTTCTCTTAACTGTCTTTTGAAAAGTAATTTTTTGCTCTTGATAACAGTTTTTGTCATTTGTTTTGCAGTTTTAGGTTACGAATATTACCACAAATTTTGGGATATGTTGGTGAAAATGTTAATGGAAATAATTTCATTCTGAAACCCTTTCTGCAGTGTCAGAGCATCCTCAGCCAAGGAAATAAAAAGCCACAAAATAGAAAAGAAAAAGAAGAGAAGATTGAAAAGAGAAGTAACAGTGAGAGCAAAGAAAACCGAGAAACAAAATTAAATGGTCCCGGAGAAAATGTCAGTGAAGATGAGGCTCAGTCAAGTAATCAACGAAAGAGAGGTCAGTTTGTCTGTATCTTTATTTTGATTTTAAAATTTTCCAGAAAGTTGTAATAAGGAATTGTATTTAATTAACTGATCTCTGGTAGTCAGAAATGTATAGTTTGTATTTCTTCAGGATAAGCAATTTACAGTAGTAACTCATTTGCTTTTGTAACATTTGTCAATGATTAAGCTTTTCTTTTTTTTTTTTTTTTTTTTTGAGACGGAGTTTCGCTCTTGTTACCCAGGCTGGAGTGCAATGGCGCGATCTCGGCTCACCGCAACTTCCGCCTCCTGGGTTCAGGCAATTCTCCTGCCTCAGCCTCCTGAGTAGCTGGAATTACAGGCACGTGCCACCATGCCCAGCTAATTTTTTGTATTTTTAGTAGAGACGGGGTTTCACCATGTTGACCAGGATGGTCTCGATCTCTCGACCTCGTGATCCACCCACCTTGGCCTCCCAAAGTGCTGGGATTACAGGCTTGAGCCACCGCGCCCGGCCTTAAGCTTTTCTTTTTGCGTGTAACTTGTAGTCTATGTAAGAAAATGGAATGGAGTTCCATTTACAGGTATGGTTGTAGATACATTCTTGGAAAGTTGTGTGACAATTATTGTTCTTTTAGATCTGCATTGGACTGCTCCTTATATTTAGGAAGTACTGTGAAAATTAAATACATTTTTTTTTTTCCTGAGAGAAAAGTTAGAATGGGCTGGGGTTGGTGGCTCATGCCTGTAATCCTAGTACTTTGGAAGGCCGAGGTGGGCAGATCACTTGAGGTCAGAGTTTGAGACCAGCCTGGCAAACTTGGTGAAACCCTGTCTCCACTAAAAATACAAAAAAAAAAAAAAAAAAAAAAAAAAAAAGCCAGACATGGTAGGTGCAGACCTGTAGTCTCAGGTACTCAGGAGGCCAAGGCAGGAGAATTGCTTGAACCCAGGAAGCGGAGGTTGCAGTGAACTGAGATCGTGCCACTGCACTTCAGCCTGGGAGAGACAGAGCAAGACTCTATCTCAGAAAAAAAGAAAAGTTGGAATAATTTTAGTTAACCTGCCGGGCGCGGTGGCTCAAGCCTGTAATCCCAGCACTTTGGGAGGCCGAGGCGGGTGAATCACGAGGTCGAGAGATCAAGACCATCCTGGTCAACATGGTGAAACCCCGTCTCTACTAAAAATACAAAAAATTAGCTGGGCATGGTGGCGTGTGCCTGTAATCCCAGCTACTCAGGAGGCTGAGGCAGGAGAATTGCCTGAACCCAGGAGGCGGAGGTTGCGGTGAGCCGAGATCGCGCCATTGCACTCCAGCCTGGGTAACAAGAGCGAAACTCTGTCTCAAAAAAAAAAAAAAAAAAAAAAAAAAAAAATTTTAGTTAACCTTTTCCCTCGTAACATTCTCCTGTCAAAATTACACTTTGAAGGAATAAAAATATTGTGTTCATATCTTTTTCCATTTTCTTTTCTGAACTTTTTGTGTGTCTCGGGACAAGCATATACTCATTCAGTGGTCGAGTCTTGGTACAAGTGTCTCTAGGGGCTTCAAGGCAGAAAAAGGCTTTAAACTGTCAAGTTGTCAGTGACTGAAGCAAGGTGATTTTCTAGAGAGTAGCAGGAGGAGAGGTTAGAGACATAGATAGACAAGGTCCATGGTATACAAGTCCTTTGTAATTTGGAGTTAGGATTTTATTTTGGGTGCCATGGGAAACTGTTGAACCAAGAAGTCTCTGGAGGTGATATGGCATGGGAGGGGACATTTAATGGTAAAGTTGTTGCCAACTTCTTTAATACTTTAACTTTTACCGTAGACTGATCATTTACTTGAATAGTTTCTAATTCTTGGTACAGGGTAAGCATTATGCTCACTTGATACAAAGAATAAAGGCTCATTGCTCAAAAGCAGTGAGAACAAAACAACCAAGTGATTGTTAGAAAAATTTGTCCCCATTCTTTTTTTTTTTTTTTTTTTTTTTGAGATGAAGTTTCACTCTTGTTACCCAGGCTGGACTGCAATGGCGCGATCTCGGCTCACTGCAACCTCCGTCACCTGGGTTCAGGCAATTCTCCTGCCTCAACCTCCTGAGTAGCTGGGATTACAGACACGCGCCACCATGCCCAGCTAATGTTTTATATTTTTAGTAGAGATGGGGTTTCACCATGTTGACCAAGATGGTCTCGATCTCTTGACATCATGATCCACCCGCCTCGGCCTCCCAAAGTGCTGGGATTACAGGCTTGAGCCACCGCACCCGGCCCTCCCCATTCTTTTTTTTTGTTTATTTCGCTCTGTTGTCACCCAGTCTGGAGTGCAGTGGCTCAGTCTTGGATCACTGCAACCTCTGCCTCCCAGGCTCAAGTGATACTCATGCCTTAGCCTCCCAGGTAGCTGGGATTACAGGCAAGTGCCACCTCATCCAGCTAATTTTTTTTTGTATTTTTAGTAGAGATGGAGTTTCACCATGTTAGCCAAGATGGTCTTGAACTCCTGGCCTCAAGTCATCTGCCCACCTCGGCCTCTCAAAGTGCTGGGGATATAGTGTGAGCCAGTGTGCCTGGCCTCTTTACAAATAATCTTAAAATACACATTAAGTTTTTCACTTAATTAAAATTCAGAATACTTTCAAATTGCAAGGCTTTAGTGAAAATTGTACATTTGTCCTTAAATGATTTTATTTTGTTTTCTTCAAGCTAATAAGCACAAGTGGGTACCACTTCACTTAGATGATGTAAGACCAGAGAGTCAAGAAAGACCTGGATCCCGGAACAGCTCAAGATGTCAACCTGAAGCAAATAAACCAACACATAACAATAGGAGAAATGATACACGAAGTAAGTTACCGTTCTAAGAGAAAAATGACTTAGGAAAGACTTAGTCTTAATGCTCATTATTTTAATAACTACATGTAGTATAAACCATTTGAGAATAAATTGCAGACCTCATGTCAATTTAGCTCCAAATATCTTCAGGGTATATTTCATAAGAATAATATAACTATAACACAATGAACAACAGTGAAACTTAACGTTAATACAATGTGATTGTCCACAAGCATATTTTTTTCACTAAAGTCCTTTATAGTTGCCCCTCCCCTGCCCCAAGGAATCCATTGTGGGATCCCCCATTTCATTTTATTTTATTTTTCCTCTTTAGGCTCCGTTAATCTGTAACAGTTCTTTGCTTTTATCTTTAATGACATTGATTTTTTTGAAGATTGTAAGATAATTATAATATAGATATCCCGTACTTTGGGTTTTCTGATGTTTCCTTATGATTGGATTGGGGTTGTGAATTTTTGGCAGGAGTGCTGTATGAGAAAATGTATCGTCTGGCGTGGTGGCTCATGCCTATAACCCCAACATTGAGATGCTGAGGAAGGTGGATCATGAGGTCAGGAGATTGAGACCGTTCTGGCTAACATGGTGAAACCCCATCTCTACTGAAAATACGAAAAATTAGCTGGGCGTGGTGGCAGGTGCCTGTAGTCCTAGCTACCGGGGAGGCTGAGGCAGGAGAATCGCTTGAATCCAGGAGGCAGAGGTTACGCTGAGCCCAGATTGTGCCACTGCACTCCAGCCTGGGCGACAGAGTGAGACTCTTTCTCCAAATACATATATATATATGATTTTCTTCTTAGTGCATTGCATGGGAATGAATATGACCTTGGTTTGTCCTATTATTGAAGATAGTAACTTTGATTACCCCGTAGCTGTATTTGATTATTAGTTTGACTATTATTATTTATGTTTTTTTGTTTGAGGTGGAGTCTTGTTCTTTCGCATAGGCTGGAGGGCAGTGGCGCGTGATCTGGCCTCACCGTAGTCTCTGCCTCCTGGGTTCAAGCAGTTCTTCCCTCAGCCTCCCGACTGGCTGGGAGTACAGGTGCATGCTACCATGCCTGGCCAATTTTTGTATTTTTAGCAGAGTCATGGTTTCACCATATTGGCTGGTGTTGAAATTTTGACCTCAGGTGATCCACCCACCTTGACGTCCCAGTGTTGGGATTACAGGTGTGAGCCATTGCTACTGGCTACAACACTGATTATTAACTTTGATTACTTGGTTGAGGTAGTGTATTCTAGATTTGTTAAAAATTTTTAATTTTCTTCAGTTTTTTTTTTTTAATTTTTTTTTTTAAGATGGAGTTTTGCCCTTGTTGCTTAGGCTGCAGTACAGTGGTGGCTCAGTCTTGGCTCACCACAACCTCTGCCTGCCAGGTTTAAGTGATTCTCATTCCTCAGCCTCCTGAATAGCTGGAATTACAGGCATATGCCACCACGCCCAGCTAATTTTATATTTTTAGTAGAGATGGGGATTATCCATGTTGGTCAGGCTGGTCTTGAACTCCCAACCTCAGGTGATTCGGCCTCCCAAAGTGCTGGGGTTACAGGTGTGAGCCACCACCATGCCTCGGCTCTACTAAACATAGAAAAATGGGCCGGGCATGGTGGTGCATGCCTGTAACCCCAGCTACTCAGGAGGCTGAGGCAGGAGAATTGCTTGAACCTGGGAGGCAGAGGTTTCAGTGAGTTGAGTTGTGCCATTGCACTGCAGCTTGGGCAACAAGAGCAAGAGTCCATCCTCAAAAAACAACAAAAACAAAATAAAACAATAACTTGGCTATAGAAAAACTGACTTTTTGTTCCTATTTCTCAAAATGTCATTTTAAGTTTTCATTCTAAAGGTAATGGATACTCATAATTTAATTACTTTTTTCTCATTAAATATTGAATATATGAAAAAATAGACATAAAATTATATGGAACAACAGTATAATGAGATGATTGTGGTGGTACTCACCTGTAGTTCCACCTACTTGGTAGGCTGAGGAGGTAGGAGGCTTGCTTGAGAGCCCAAGAGTTGAAGGCTACAGTGAGCTGTGATGATGCCACTGCAGCCTGAGTGACAGAGTGAGACCCCCATCTCTAAAATCAACATTAATAATGGTGAGGATGAGGATGATGATGATGAACAGTGGAAACTCACCCTGTTTGAGAATGTATGTTACTGTTACCTTTAAACTTCCCTTTGTGCCCTCCACAGTTCATCCCATTTTCTCGGAGAAAATGATCTTAAGTGTGTTGGTTTCTTGCACGTTTTGAAATTGCCATGCAATATGACTTTATTAACATTCTTTGGCAGGAATTTTTTTAAAATTCAGCCTGCTTTTTCTTAGATTAATGCATGTTGATTGTATTACTGTCTTTCTTCTTTTCTCTTTCTGCTGAAAGGCTGTTTCACTATTTGATAAAATCTGTACTAATAGTGTATATTTGGATTGTGCTTCTAGTTTTTTGATATTAAGGAACTACCATAAACATTTTAATGCATGTGTTCCAGTACACAAGTACAAGAGGTACTCTAGGGTAATTTTTTCAGACTGCAGACTAAAGTTTGTGAGTGGGTTATAAAATCAGTATATTGGGTCATGATCAGGTTTTTTAAAACCTAGAGTGCTGACTGGGTGCGGTGGCTCACACCTGTAATCCCAGCACTTTGGGAGGCCGAGGCGGGCCGATCATGAGGTCAAGAGATCGAGACCATACTGGCCAACACGGTGAAACCTCATTTCTACTAAAAATACAAAAAATTAGCCGGGCGTGGTGGCACATGCCTGTGGTCCCAGCTACTCGGGAGGCTGAGGCGAAAGAATCGCTTCAACCCAGGAGGTGGAGGTTGCAGTGAGCCAAGATTGCGCCACTGCACTCCAGCCTGGTGACAGAGTAAGACTCTGTCTGAAAAACAAAAAACAAAAAACAAAAAAAAACCTAGAGTGCTTCACATAGTAAAATTTTAAATGATATGTGTTTAAATTGCAGAAAATTTTTGTAAGTGTGCTGGTGTGATGTAACCTTACAGATTAAGGCAGAAATGTTTGAAAAAGTGCTTGGGTGCAGTGGTGCACGTCTGTAATCCCAGCACTTTGGGAGAGGGAGGTAGGTGAATCGCTTGAACTCAGGAGTTTGAGACCAGCTGGGTAACATAGTGAGACCTCATCTCTGTTTAAAAAAAAAAAAAAAGAAAGAAAGAAATATTTGAAAAAATACTATTTTAGGATAAGCGTTGAATATGGAACTATGGGATCTAGGGTAATGTTCTCAAGGAGGGTGATTTTTTTTCCCCCAAAGAGTCATTTGGCATTGTCTTGAGATATTTATTACTGGTTGTTACAACTGAGGGAGGTGAGTGGTTGCTACTGGCACCTAGTGGCCTGGTGGTCATGGATGATGCTCAACGTCCTGTAGTCCCCAGATCAGCCCCTACACCACAGTCTAAAGCACTAAGGTTGTGAAACTTTGTCTCTAGGATTTGTATATCTTCACATTTATTAGATTATTCCAAGTTGATTTTCAAAGTGGATATATCTATTTTCAACCTCACTAACAATATACGAATGTTTACCCTTTTTTTTTGATGCCCAGGCTGGAGTTCAGTGGAGAGATCTCGGCTCACTGCAACCTCTGCCTCCCGAATTCAAGTGATTCTCTTGCCTCAGCCTTCTGAGTTGCTGGGACTACAGGCGCCCGCCACCATGCCTGGCTAATTTTTGTATTTTTAGTAGAGATGAGTTTCGCCATGTCGGCCAGGCTGGTCTTAACTCCTGACCTCAAGTTCTCTCTGCCCACCAGAGCCTCCCAAAGTGCTGGGATTACAGGTGTGAGCCATCGTGCCCGGCTAATGTTCTACCTTGAACATTTCATATTAGAGACATTAAAGTATTTGTTATACTGGGGTAAAAAGCCTTTCATTATCTTAATTTGCATTTCTCATAGTCAGTAAGGCTGAGCACTGTTTGCTTTTCTTTTCTTTTTTTTTTCTGAGACCAAGTCTTGCTCTGTCACCCAGGCTGGAGTGCAGTAGCAGGTTCTGGGCACACAGCAACTTCCTCTGCCTCCCAGATTCAAACAATTCTTCTGCCTCAGCCTACCAAGTAGCTGGGATTACAGGCACGTACCACCATGCCTGGCTAATTTTTGTATTTTTAGTAGAGATGGGTTTTAGCTGTGTTGGCTAAGCTGGTCTTGAATTCCTGACCTCAAGTGACCTGCCTGCCTAGGCCTCCCAAAGTGCTGGGGTTACAGTCCTGAGCCACTGCACCTGGCTCTTTTTCTTTTTATGATGATGATGATTACCTTTTTTTGAGATGGCGTCTCACCCTTCTCCCAGCCTTGAATGCAGTAGTGGTATCTCAGCTCACTGCAACCTCCACCTCTGGGCCTCCTGAGTAGCTGGGACAACACAACTGGCACCACCATGCTTGGCTAATTTTTTTTTTTTTTTTTTTGAGACGGAGTTTCACTCTCGTTGCCCAGGCTGGAGTGCAATGGCGCGATCTCGGCTCACTGCAACCTCCGCCTCCTGGGTTCAGGCAATTCTCCTGCCTCAGCCTCCTGAGTAGCTGGGATTACAGGCACGCGCCACCATGCCCAGCTAATTTTTTTTGTATTTTTAGTAGAGACGGGGTTTCATCATTTTGACCAGGATGGTCTCAATCTCTTGACCTCGTGATCCACCCGCCTCGGCCTTCCAAAGTGCTGGGATTACAGGTGTGAGCCACTGCGCCCGGCCGCTTGGCTAATTTTTTTGTATTTTTAGTACAGGCAGGGTTTTGCCATGTTTCTCAGGCTGGTCTTGGACTCCTGCACTCAAGCAATTTGCCTGCCTCAACCTACCAAAGTGCTGTTATCACAAGTGTGAGCCTCTTTTGAGGATTTTTTTTTCCTTTTTTTCCTTTTTTTTTTTTTTTTGAGAGGGAATCTCGCTCTGTAGCCTAGGCTGGAGTGCAGTGGTGTGATCTCCCCTCACTGCAGCCCCTGCCTCTCGGGTTCAAGTGATTCTCTTCCCTCAGCCCCCAAATAGTGTGCGCTATGGTTTTTTGTATTTTTAGTAGAGAATGGGTTTTACTATGTTGACCACTCTGGTCTTCAGCTCCTGACCTCAAGTTATCCATCCACCTTGGCTTCCCAAAGTGCTGGGGTTACAAGCCGGAGTCACCGTGCCTGGTCTTTTATGATTATTGACCCATTGGTAGGCACTGTTTTGCGTATTTATTGTCCACTTGCATTTTGTTGCCCTGATTGTATTTTAGACATTTTTCCCATGGCGGGGGGGAGAGAGAGAGAGAGAGAGAGAGAGAGAGAGAGAATGTGTGTGTGTGTGTGTGCGTGCGTGCATGTTGCATGAGAGAGTGTGGTATGAGTTATTATATGTACTCCAGATAGAATTTCTACATGTTGCTTCAGATACCTTTTCTCAATTTGTTTTGTGTTTTCATTTCCTTTTTACTTTATAAGGAATGACATTTACTTAAATAGAACCATCCTTAGATATTTTGTGAAAAGTGTTTTTTTAGGAGTTTTTTGTAGTACAAACTTTTTTTTTTTCTCCCCACCTGCTTTGGTAGAAATATGTAGTACAAACTTAGTAATCTTGGAACTTCTTGAATCTTTAACAGCTGCAATCTTAATAAAAGTATCTCTTTATCTTTCTAGTATGTTGTTACACTTGTTAGAATGTATTCTTCATATGCTAATACTTTTTGAGGTCTGTTTTATGCTGGAGATATTTTTGATAAATTCCTGTTGGATCTTTTTCAGTTTGTATCCATCTGAAAAATGCCTGGGACTTATTAATTAGTTTTAGTTACTAATTAATTAATTAGTTTTATTATTAATTAGTTACGAAGTGAAAAGAAGGTGGCTACTATGTTTTTATAAAGATAATCATGTTATTTTATTTGCAAATTGGAGTACATAAAAATATTTTTATTTTTAAAAGGTTGGAGGCGAGATAGAGAAAAAAGAGATGATCAAGATGAAGTTTCCAGTGTGAGAAGCGAGGGTGGTAATATCCGAGGTTCCTTTAGAGGCCGAGGAAGAGGCCGAGGACGGGGAAGAGGACGAGGCAGAGGAAATCCTCGATGTATGACATAATTTTTGTTTTGTTAAATTAGATAAACTTTGAAAGAAACAGAGCAACTATCCTGTATTATGTTTTAACTAATTTTTTTTGTTTGATAATAGATGGTTTTATATTTGTTAACCTTTGAAGTTCTTCACTTTATCCATAGTAACTGCTTTTTTTTCCTAATGTGTGATTACTTTTCTTTTTCTTTATTCACATCAAGTGAACTTTGATTATTCATATGGTTATCAAGAACATGGTGAAAGGACTGATCAACCATTTCAAACAGAACTTAATACCAGTATGATGTATTACTATGATGATGGTACAGGTGTACAGGTGTATCCTGTGGAAGAAGCATTGCTTAAAGAGTATATTAAGCGTCAAATGTAAGTGGATGTTTGATTTAAGCAGATGAGACAGCAAAATCTGTTGCAATATCATATTTAAATGTCATTGATAATGAATATATTATAACTTTTTTTTTTTTTTTTTGAAACAAAGTCTCACTCTGTCACCCAGGCTGGAGTGTAGTGGTATGATCTTGGCTCAATGCAACCTCTGCCTCTTGGGTTCAAGTGATTCTCCTGCCTCAGCCTCCTGGGTAGCTGGGATTACAGGCACATGCCACTACACCTGGCTAATTTTTATATTTTTCGTGGAGACAGTGTTTCGCCATGTTGGCCAGGCTGGTCTTGAACTCTGGGCCTCAGTTGATTAGCCCACCTCAGCCTCCCAAAGTGCTGGGATTATAGGTGTGAGCCACCATGCCCAGCCTGTTGTAACGTTTTTAAAACTACGTATTAGTAAATGTTGGAAATATTAAAATTATTTTGATTATATATTTTTAGGATATATGATTAAAATAGGTATTTTTAAAATTTCATATTTAGTTTACAATGTTTATATAAGTCTCTTGGTTCCCCTACTAGATATTTTTCTCCTTAAATGAGATTAGGTAAAATATTATTGCATAATATGAATAAATATACAGCTGTACTCTTATATGCTTGAAATTGGACAAGTAAAATTTGTCTCATTATTTGCCAATAGGTGTTTATATTAGAATTTGCAAATGAACATAAATGACAAAAATGGTGGTAGGTATCTTTTGACTTTCTTCTTAGCAATTGACTTCTGAATTCTAAGTTTGTTTTTTATCTTCTAAGTTCTTCTTTTGACACATATTAAAGGGAGACTACCTTATCTTTTAGTTCAGACTTCATACTCTAGTTCTCATAATAGTTGCTTTCTGGGTACTGAATGTGAAGTCAGGAGAATATTAGTTCTATTTTCTGAAAGAAAAAACAAACCATATGCATATTAGTATTATAAAGGACATTTTGCTTATTTATATAGTATGTTTTTATAGAGGCAAAAATCCAAGCAATATGCATAACCAATTTGTTAAAACTTGAAATTTTTCTATCCTTACAAGGTGAAAGAAAAGGGCTATTTTTGAAGGAGCATAAGCATTTAAAAATCATTTATTTAGCTGGAATATAGATTTTTAAAAAATCATCTATTATTCCAAAATAAAATAGACCCTATTCTGTTCCTAGAAAATTTCTTCATCATCATCAACCAGGCACCTTCCTGGGATGCCTTCATGGTGGATCCAATTTGCTTACAGTGTGAAGCAACTTGTTTATTTTGTTCTTGCTTCTTTTGTTACAGTTGATGCAAACACTGAAGAAAAGGGCCTTTTTATGGGCAGAAAGTGCTTGACATGTGGCTGTCAACTTCATACCACTATTACTGTCTTTTTTGTAACTTTTGCTGCCAAGCCCCTTCTGAGACCTGACAGTGGACATGCAACTCCATGTCAGGATAATCGGCCTCCAGTGTGCTCATACAAGTGAGGGAGGAGCAGAGCTACTTCATTGTTGACAAAATTTCTGATCATGCAGTGTAGAATCCAGAGCCTCTAAGGTAGGACTTGATGATGTCCCTAGGACACTGATCAAAATGTCAGATAAGGCATTGGTCATGCCTCCTTTTTTTGCTGTTCTAGCAGTAGGGATTTTGGCAAATGTTAGTAGAGCACCAGGTTTAGTGTGGCTTGTTACTATTACTATTCTTTGATTAGTGGAGATTTAGCTTTGAAGGAGTTGTGCTTTTCACTTTGTATTATTTGGTTTCTAATATGTAGATAGGTTGATTGATTAAGGTTTTGATTTTCTTTCTGAGAAGTCACTAAAATGTTTTTCTGACACCTGTGGAAAAATGATGCAAAACGTATTCTAAACTACGAGGCTTAAATGTTTTCAAAATGATTGAGGTTTTTAAATTTTTGTTTATTTATTTATTTATTTTTTGAGATGGAGTCTTGCTCTATTGCCAGGCGCCAGGCTGGAGTGCAGTGGCGCGATCTTGGCTCACTGCAACCTCCACATCCTGGGTTCAGGCAATTCTCCTGCTTCAGCCTCCCGAGTAGCTGGGACTACAGATGTGCGCCACCACGCCCAGCTAATTTTTATATTTTAGTAGAGACGGGGTTTTACTATGTTGGCCATGATGGTCTCGATCTCTTGACCTCGTGATCTGCCTGCCTCAGCCTCCCAAAGTGCTGGGGTTATAGGCGTGAGCCACTGTGCCTGGCAATTGAGGGTTAAAAAAAAAATTTTTTTTTTTTCTCTTGAGGTCGAGTTTTGCTCTTGTTGTTCAGGCTGTAGTGCAATGGCACAATCTCGGCTCACTGTAACTTCCATCTTTCAGGTTCAAGAGATCCTCCTGCCTCAGTCTCCCCAGTAGCTGGGATTGCAAGCATGTGCCACCATGCCCAGCTAATTTTTGTGTTTTTAGTAGAGACAAGGTTTTACACCATGCTGGTCAGGCTGGTCTCAAACTGCTGACCTCAGGTAGTCCACCTGCCTCAGCCTCCCAAAGTTCTGGGATTACAGGCGAGAGCCACCATGCCTGGCCAGGACAGTTTATTATTGATTCAGGGAAGTTCACATCTCACAGCTAAGAACAGTTGTAACTTGTGACTAAATCAAATGTCTTAATGTCCGAAATTTTAGAATGTTTTTTCTTTTTTTTGAGATAGAGTTTTGCTCATGGCCCAGGCTGGAGTACAATGGTACAATCTCGGCTTACTGCAACCTCCACCTCCCAGGTCCAGGTGATTCTCCTGCCTCAGCCTCCGTAGTAGCTGGGATTGCAGGCATGTACCACCACACCCAGCTGATTTTGTATTTTTAGTAGAGACGGGGTTTTGCCATGTTGGTCAGACTGGTCTTGAATTCCTGATATCAGGTGATCCACCCCCGCATAGCCTCCAAAAGTACTAGGATTACAGGTGTGAGCCACTGTGCCCAGCCTGAAATTTTAGAATTTTAATACATATACTATGTATTTACCACATGTCAGACACTATGAATAAGGTTTTTGAGGTGTAACAGCCATCAGAATGTTCATTTCTTTAAGATTTAGATTTTTTCTTCAGTGTTTAAAAAGAGTAAATGAGACCAGGGCATGGTGGCTTACACCTGTAATCCCACCACTTTGGGAGTTCAATGTGGGTGGATCATCTGAGGTCAGGAGTTCAGACCAGTGTGGTCAACATGGTGAAACTCTGTCTCTACTAAGAATACAAAAATTAGCCTGGTGTGGTGGCACACGCCTGTAGTCCAAGCTACTCAGGAGGCTGAGACAGGAGAATCACCTGAACCCAGGAGGCAAAAGTTGCAGTGAGCCAAGATCGTGCCATTGCACTCCAGCCTGGGAAACAAGAGTGAAATTCCATCTCAAAAATAAATAAATAATTTACTAGAGTCACTGAATGTCAACAGTATTTCAGTACTCTCTGAGAGAGCTTTTCACTTTGATAATTGGATAAATATCAAACTATTAAAGGAAAATTTGGATAGTTATATTCAATAAAATGATTTATTTTATTCCCTTCAAGTGAAAGGTAGCTCTAAACCAGTTTTCGGTTATAGATGCCTTATTTTCAAAGTTAGAATTTGGCCCACATACTTCAAGGGCATCTTGTTTTTCTGTTTTTTTTTGAGATGGAGTTTCGCTCTTGTTACCCAGGCTGGAGTGCAATGGCACGATCTCGGCTCATTGCAACCTCCACCTCCTGGGTTCAGGCAGTTCTCCTGTCTCAGCCTCCTGAGTAGCTGGGATTACAGGCACGCACCACCATGCCCAGCTAACTTTTTGTATTTTTAGTAGAGACGGGGTTTCACCTTGTTGACCAGGATGGTCTCCATCTCTTGACCTCGTGATCCACCCGCCTCAGCCTCCCAAAGTGCTGGGATTACAGGCTTGAGCCACCGCGCCCAGCCCTCAAGGGCATCTTTAGTCACTGAGTTTTATACCCCAAAATATGAGGTAGTTTCTTTTCTTATAACTTATATTCCATTTTTGAAAACTTTCTCTGTTATTTGGAAATAGTGTGGGATTATTAAACTGTAGGCCTCATCATCATTGATGTCATGTGTTTCTTTATATCATTCTTTTCTATATTTCCCCTTATTTGTCTTCTTCTGTCTCTTTAAAAATCCTCATACTCTTTTTTATATATGGAGGCTATAATTTAAACATGTATTTATCTTTCTCTTTTTAACCTTTCCTATGGTGTGGATAAACATGTATTTATCAAAGGATATTATTAATTGTATTGTGAATGTTATCTTTATGTCTTGGGATGTGTACTTATTAATCATACTGACAGTTCATCCATTTACATTTCTCTCAGAAAAGATTAAGTGGGTTTGTGTTTTTCAAGAGGAGATAAGACATTGAATCATTTTCTTTATTTTTGCCTCCATGTGCCTCATGGTGTTAAGGATATTCCTTCTTTAGCTATATGTTCTGTTCACCCTTAATGTCTTTTATTATTATTTTTTAAACAGTCTTTCTCTGTCTCCAAGCTGGAGTTTAGAGACATGGTCCCCGCTCACTGCAACCTCTGCCTCCCGGGTTCAAGTGATTCTCCTGCCTGAGACTCCTGAGTAGCTGGGATTACAGGCATCAGCCAACACGCCCAGCTAATTTTTGTATTTTAGTAGAGACAGGGTTTCCCCATGTTGGCCAGGTTGGTCTGGAACTCCTGACCTCAAGAGATCCACCCGCCTTGGCTGCTGAAGGTGCTGGGATTACAGGTGTGAGCCACCTCACTGGGCCACCCTTAATGTCTTATTGTCTATCAAAGAAAGAAGGGGATAACTTGAATCATTCAGAATATATAATTGTGTATGCGCACATATGCCTGTGTGTTCACTAAGTGGTGGGTTTTTTTTTTTTTTTTTTTTTTTTTTTTTTTTTTTTTGAGATGGGCTTTTGCTTTTGCTGCCCAGGCTAGAGTGCAATGGTGTGATCTTGGCTCACCGCATCCTCTGCCTCCAACATTCAAGCGATTCTCCTGCCTGAGCCTCCCGAGTAGCTGGGATCACAGGCATGCACCACCATGCTTGGCTTTTTGTGTTTTTAGTAGAGATGGGGTTTCTTCTTGTTGGTCAGGCCGATCTTGAACTCCTGACCTCAAGTGATCTGCCCGCCTTGGCCTCCCAAGTGCTGAGATTACAGGCATGAGCCACTGCACCTCGGAATGTTTATTTTTTTTTTACTTATTTTTTTTTTTGAGACGGAGTTTTTGCTCTTGTTACCCAGGCTGGAGTGCAATGGCACGATCTCGGCTCATTGCAACCTCCACCTCCTGGGTTCAGGGAATTCTCCTGCCTCAGCCTCCTGAGTAGCTGGGATTACAGGCATGCGCCACCATGCCCAGCTAATTTTTTGTATTTTTAGTAGAGACGGGGTTTCACCATGTTGACCAGGATGGTCTCGATCTCTTGACCTCGTGATCCACCCGCCTCGGCCTCCCAAAGTGCTGGGATTACAGGCTTGAGCCACCGCGCCCGGCCTCGGAATGTTTAAGTTTTTAAGTAAGCATTGTACTGATTACTAAGGTTCAGAGTATTAAACATGTCAGTACTTTGTCAGTTTAGAAAACAAAACAAACTACTTTACTGTACGAAAATTCAACAAAGGATACTTCCAGTATGCCATTCTTCTCAGTGATTGGGAAAAAGTTGGAAGTCATTATGCTAACATGTGATTCGCTTTGTTATCTAATGTTTAAATAAAACAAGTAGAAGTGGCTTTGTAAAGATTTTCACCTAATTAACTCATTAAAAAATCAATTTTTGAAATATTTTAAAGTAAAATGAGCTGCTTTATTCTTTTTCTCTTTTTTTTTTTTTTGAGACAGAGTTTCGCTCTTGTTACCCAGGCTGGAGTGCAATGGCGCGATCTCGGCTCACCGCAACCTCCACCTCCTGGGTTCTGGCAATTCTCCTGCCTCAGCCTCCTGAGTAGCTGGGATTACAGGCACGCGCCACCATGCCCAGCTAATTTTTTGTATTTTTAGTAGAGACGGGGTTTCACCATGTTAACCAGGATGGTATCGATCTCTTGACCTCGTGTTCCACCCGCCTCGGCCTCCCAAAGTGCTGGGATTACAGGCTTGAGCCACTGCGCCTGGCTGCTTTATTCTTTGCATTTAGTGAGGAGGCTACATTTAGTGAGGAGGCTGATTTAAATAGAAATTAATAGTAACTTTTTGGAAAATAGTATTTCAAGTTTCTATTCATGTATAAGAGAACTTATTAATTCAGAAGGGGTTTTTGCTGTCTTATATGTTTAACCTATGTATGGTTGTATTAGAACTATACATATGGTTAACCAAATTACAATATTTTCATGTTAATGATTAGTTTTCACAGTTAATGTGCAAGCAGTAGAAATATTTATTTCCTACTATATAAATGGATGAAATTTATGTTTTTAAATTTCTCTTTTTAGTGAATATTACTTCAGTATAGAAAATTTGGAACGAGACTTCTTTCTTCGGGGAAAGATGGATGAACAAGGTTTCTTGCCTATTTCCCTGATTGCTGGTTTTCAACGTGTTCAGGCTCTCACTACAAACCTTAATCTCATCTTAGAGGTAATTGCTCATTTAAAAAAACAATTTGTACTTTCCACTCAAATTTCCTTTGAACCTAAAACTTCTCTAAAAAACAGTGTATTATTATCAGACAATCTGTAGTTGCTTGAGGCTCAGACAGCATTCCATGATGTTTTTCTGTTTTGTAAAACTTTCATAAATAATTATGTTACTATGTATTTTCTCTTTCCCCTCTTCCTCAATTACTCAACCTATTTTATTTTATTTTATTTATTTATTTTGAGACGGAGTTTCGCTCTTTTTACCCAGGCTGGAGTGCAATGGTGCGATCTTGGCTCACCGCAACCTCCGCCTCCTGGGTTCAGGCAATTCTCCTGCCTCAGCCTCCTGAGTAGCTGGGATTACCAGCACGCGCCACCATGCCCAGCTAATTTTTTTGTATTTTTAGTAGAGACGGGGTTTCACTATGTTGACCAGGATGGTCTTGATCTCATGACCTCTTGATCCACCCGCCTCGGCCTCCCAAAGTGCTGGGATTACAGGCTTGAGCCACCGCGCCCAGCTTACTCAACCTATTTTAAACCTGATCCTTCAAACTTTAACCCTTTTGAGGATTCTTGGTTCTTTTTTTTTTTTTTTTTTTTTCCTGAGACTGAGTTTCGCCCTTGTTACCCAGGCTGGAGTGCAATGGCGCGATCTCGGCTCACCGCAACCTCCGCCTCCTGGGTTCAGGCAATTCTCCTGCCTCAGCCTCCTGAGTAGCTGGGATTACAGGCACGCGCCACCATGCCCAGCTAATTTTTTGTATTTTTAGTAGAGACGGGGTTTCACCATGTTGACCAGGATGGTCTCGATCTCTCGACCTCGTGATCCACCCGCCTCGGCCTCCCAAAGTGCTGGGATTACAGGCTTGAGCCACCGCGCCCGGCCGGATTCTTGGTTCTTAAAACTTCTTCAGGGTCGGGCATGGTGGCTCACATCTGTAATCCCAGCACTTTGAGAGGCTCAGGCAGGTGGATCACCTGAGGTCAGGAGTTCAAGACCGCCTGGCCAACATGGTGAAACCCCATCTCTACTAAAAATACAAAAATTAGCCAGGAGTAGTGACACACACCTTTAGTCCCAGGTACTGGGGAGGCTGAGGCAGGAGGATCTCTTGAACCCAGGATTCATTGGTTGCATTGAGCTGAGATTGTGCCTTGCACTCTGGCCTGGGCGATGGAGTGCAATGGCAAAATCAAATAAAAATTTCGACAGGGTGCAGTGGCTCAATCCTGTAATCCCAGGAGGCCGAGGCAGGCAGATCACCTGTGGTTGGGAGTTTTAGACCAACCTAATTGACATGGAGAAACCCCGTCTCAAAATCAAAATTAGCTGGGCATGGTGGTGCATGCCTGTAATCCCAGCTACTCAGGAGGCTGAGAGAGGAGAATCGCTTGAAACCGGAAGGCGGAGGTTATGGTGAGCTGAGATTGCACCTGCTGCACTCCAGCCAGGGCAACAAGAGCGAAACTTTGTCTCAAAAAGAAAAAAAAATTTCTTCAGGATACTATAAAAATGTATATATTCCCACTTATTGAAAGGCTAATTTAAAATAGTCCTGACTGGGTATGGTGGCTCATGCCTGTAATGTCAGTACTTTGAGGGGAAAAAAAATCTTTCATCTGGCCTGTGGCCTGTTTCTAGAAATGCTTTCAACATCTTTTTTTTTTTTTTTTTCTAGCCAGTTTCTTTCCCTACACACAGCCCTTGGTAACCACAATCACTATTCTGCTCTTTTTTTTAGAGTCTCACTCTGTTGCCCAGGCTGGAGTGCAGTGGCACGATCTCGGCTCACTGCAACCTCTGCCTCCCAGGTTCAAGCGATTCTGCTGTTTCAGCTTCCCAGGTAGCTGGGATTACAGGCGTGCACCATCATATCTGGCTAATTTTTGTATTTTTAGTAGAGACAGAGTTTCCCCATGTTGGCCAGGCTGGTCTTGAACTTCTGACCTCAGATCATCCACCCGCCTTGGCCTTCCAAAGTGCTGGAATTATAGGTGTGAGCTACCACGCCTGGCAACTAGTCTGCTTTTTATCCCTATAGTTTTGTATTTTCCAGACTATCATAAAATTTAAAAAAGTAGAGCCCTTTGTTTCTTCTGATTTTTCACTTAGTATAGTGCTTTTGGGATTCACCTATGTTGCATGTAGCAGTAGTTTGTTCTTTCATGTTGTTGACTAGTATTCCATAGTATGAATGTACCACATTTTATCCGTTCACTTGTTGGTGCACATTGAGATTGTTTACAGTTTTTGGAGAGTATGAGTGAAGCATAAAGATCTTTATAGGGATATATATATATATATATATATATATATATATATATATATAATTTCTGTTGGATAAATATCTGGTATTGTGAATGCTAGAAAGTATAGTAAGTATATGCTTATCTTTGTAAGAAAATTTCCAACCTATTGTCCAAAGTAGCTTTACCATTTTGCATCCTCACCATTATGTATGGGACTTGTTCCACAGCCTTGTTATTGCTGATATTGTCAGTTTTTTTGAATAGTAGATATGTAGTGGTTTCTCATTGTGGATTTTTTTTTTTTTTTTTTTTTTTTTTTTTGAGATGAAGTTTCAGTTTTGCTCTTGTAGCCCAGGCTGTAGTGCAGTGGCACAATCTTGGCTCAGTGTAATCTCTGTAGAGATGAGGTTTCACCACATTGGCTAGGCTGGTCTCAAACTCCTTAACTTCAGGTGATCCACCTGCCTTGGCCTCCCAAAGCGCCGGTATTACAGGCATGAGCCATTGCGCCAGCCTCTCATTGTGGTTTAATTTGCATTTCCCTGATAACTAATGCTGTCTAGCATTTTTTCATGTGCTTTTTTTATCTGCATACCTTTTTAGTCGAAATGTCTGTTCAGATTTTTTGTTCATTATCATTGAAGTGTTTTTTAAAAGCTAAAGTATGAGGTTTTTATTCTGGATACAAGTCCATTGTTAGGTATTTTGCAAATATGTTTTCCAAGTTTTTGTCTTTTCATTTTCTTAACAGGCTTCTTTGAATACCAAGCTTTTGAACACATGTGCTTTGTGTTTTAAAAATCAATGATAAGGGCTGGGCATCGTGGCTCACACCTGTAATCCCAGCACTTTGGGAGACTGAGGTGGGTGGATCGCTTGAGTTCAGGAGTTTGACACCAGCTTGGCCAACATGGTCAAACCTTGGCTCTACTAAAATTGAAAAATTAGCCGGGCATGGTGACACCCCTGTAATCCTAGCTACTCAGAGTCAAAGACAGGAGAATTGCTTGAACCCGGGAGGTAGAGGTTGCAGTGAGCCAAGATGGTGCCATTGCACTCCAGCCTGGGAGACAGAGTGAGACTCTTGTCTTTAAAAAAAAAAAATAGCCGGGCGCGGTGGCTCAAGCCTGTAATCCCAGCACTTTGGGAGGTCGAGGCGGGTGGATCACAAGGTCAAGAGATCGAGACCATCCTGGTCAACAAGGTGAAACCCCGTCTCTACTAAAAATAAAAAAAATTAGCTGGGCATGTTGGTGCCTGCCTGTAATCCCAGCTGCTCAGGAGGCTGAGACAGGAGAATTGCCTGAACCTAGGAGGCGGAGGTTGCGGTGAGCCGAGATCGAGCCATTGCACTCCAGCCTGGGTAACAAGAGCGAAACTCCGTCTCAAAAAATAAAAATAAATAAATAAATAAAAATAAAAAATAAAATCAACTATAGGAAAATCCATGTTTTGAAAATAACATTAAAATAATGATTTGTTTGTGTGTAATTAATGGTTCTTGGTTTTATGAAAATAATTACTTCAATCAGTATCATTATTATATTAGTTTATAGACAAATATTTAAAGTTTCTATATATTGTAATTAAAAGAGAAAATTAGTTTTTTTCTGCAAAATTTGCTCTTAGAGCAAATATTATGATTCATAGTAGAATGAGTTTATTTATTTTTATTTATTTTTAGTAGAGATGGGGTTTCACCATGTTGACCAAACTGGTCTCAGACTCCTAGCCTCAAGTGATCTTCCTGCCTCAACTTCCCAAAGTGCTGGGATTACAGGCATGAGCTATCGTGCCCAGCTTTAGAATGAGTTTATTAACTGCTGCCATTGTGCTATAGCAAAGGTCCACCTCAGCTGCCATTTTCTATGAAGTTGTTGCCAGTTTTTCCCCATCTGTCTGTTTCTGTAGGAATGTAGTTGTAATTTTATTATTGTATGCCTTTTTGGTCTGTTTGTAGTCCCATTAAATCCAAGCACAATTTTAAGATCATTGATTTAAATTTGAAGATCATTGAAGGATTTTTGAAAGGAAGCTTTGAACTACTGTTATGGTTAGCACTGATATAATAGCTAATGATGCAGTAAGAAATAATACCACTATGAAAAGCAGAAATGGGTAAGCATAGCAATTTAGAAGAGTATAAGTCTGCATTCACTTAACATTCATTATGCACCTACCATTTGTAATAGTAGGAAAGATGTTCTTTTTCTCTTAAGAAAGCAAGGCTTAATTAGGGATTGCAGTGTAAACATACCAAGATCATGATGGCCTTATGAATACATCCCTTATAGCTCTGTGACTTTGGACAGTGTCCTGAGACAGTAGTAATACATACATCCTAGGGTTGTCATGAGTATGAATTGTGTTAATGAATGTATCTGGCAAATGTAGTAAGCTCCAAATAAGTGAGCATGTGCTATTATTGTTAGTCTTCAATGATGTCTTTCTATTGATAACTCCTTTATCTTCATGCATTTCATTTCTACCAGCTTCTTCCCATATCTTTTGAATATGCACAAGTCTTTCCTTTCTTGAAAAACTGTCAAGAGAAGCAAAATACTTTAGCTGATACCCATATCTGCCCTGATTGAGTACACAAACACAAACCAAACTTGTTGAATTTGATTCTTCTTCACTCATTTATTTTTCAGCTTACTGCATTCTTGATATCTTCCCCATAATTGAAAGCTTTTTGTATCTTCTATTTGTTAGAGCAAATGGATTCCGGTTCTATAGCTTACCAGTTGTGTAACTAAGCAATTAATGTAACATCTTCATGATTTCATGTTCTTGTTAAAATAGGACAAATAATTCTTTTTTTTTTTTTTTTTTTGACATGGAATTTCGCTCTTGTTACCCAGGCTGGAGTGCAATGGTGCGATCTCGGCTCACCGCAACCTCCGCCTCCTGGGTTCAGGCAATTCTTCTGCCTCAGCCTCCTGAGTAGCTGGGATTACAGGCACGCGCCGTCATGCCCAGCTAATTTTTTGTATTTTTAGTTGAGATGGGGTTTCACCATGTTGACCAGGATGGTCTTGATCTCTCGACCTCGTGATCCACCCTTCTCGGCCTCCCAAAGTGCTGGGATTACAGGCTTGAGCCACCGCGCCTGGCCCAGGACAAATCATTCTTAAGCTGTAACAGAGTATGAGGATTTAGAGGAATAATTAATATAGTATCACTTCAGAAATGTGCCTGCTACTTTCATCTCAAACCTTGTTTTCTAAATTGTCTGAACTTGTGGTTCCTCAAAACTTGTGCTCTTTTCTTTTTATCTCCAGGTCTTTGCACATGCAAGTCTTTCTCTTACTACCAGGCAGTAAGAATGCAACATCTATGTATTCCAGCATTGGTAGTTATTCATAATACTAGGTCTGTATCATTAAGAAAAGGACCAAAATTAATAGCTAAGTCAGATAAAACCTCATATACTGAAAAATATTGATGTACACGGTAACTCATTGTTTAGGAGTTCAGAATTACAAAGGCTTGATTTTTAGTAAAAATATGTGTAACTGTTTCTCCTAGGTCTTTACCTTAATTTTGTGCATGGTATAGTTTTTATACAATCCTTTTAAGGCCTGTGTGATGAATGTTTTACTTTCTGTCTTCTTTATTTCCCTTTTAAATTCATTATTTCTAAATAGGAAGTAAATTACACAACCTTTAAAACTCAAAAGGTATATGGTCGTCTTCCAGTGATTGTCCAAGAAAAAAAGGTATATGGTAAAAAATTTTCTTCTCATTTTTCACCCACAGTAAATGAGTTATCTGTCTTGTTGTAGTGGTCAGTGTTACTTCTTTTTTGTATCTTCCTCCTGGGATAGTTTGTTTATGTAAGGGAATACTTTGATAGCTTACTACATACAATGTTATGTCCTTTCCTCTTTTGTTCATTTTGAGACAGAGGCTCACTCTGTCACCCAGGCTGGAGTGCAGTGGCACAATCTTGGCTTACTGCAACCTCTGCCTCCTGGGTTCACGCGATTCTTCCACCTCAGCTTCCTGAGTAGCTGGGATTACAAATGCCTGCCACCATGCCTGGCTAATTTTTGTATTTTTAGTTGAGATGGGTTTTCACCAAGTTGGTCAGGCTGATCTCGAACCCCTGACCTCAGGTGACCTACCTGCCTTGCCTTCCAAAGTGCTGGGATTACAGGTGTGGGCCACTGAACCTAGCCTCCTCTTTTTTCTTTTTTTTTTTCTTTTTTTTTTTTAACTCTGTAAAAAGCATGTATTTGAAGAGTCTTTAGTAGCTGCACATAAAGAACTTTGAACTTTTTTTTCATCCCACAAGTTTTTCTTTAAATGTTTTCTTTTAAGTTGAGGTATAATATATACCTTATATATTATTACTTTTAAGATTACAGATAATTTTTTTGTGTGTGTATACAGTCAGGTAACTGCCATTCAGAGTAAGATGTAGAACATTTTCAGGACCCAAGCAAGCTGCCTTCTATACCCACCTAGTCAATACCACTGTTCTTCCTTTAAGAGGCCTCTTTCCTGTTTTTGAACTTCACATAAATGGTGTTATGACTTTTATATCTGACTTTATTTCTGATGTTATTTCTGTGAGATTTATTCATATTGGTGTATAGCAGTTGTTTATTTTCTGTTTTCAGTAGTTTTCCATTGTATGAATATAATAGTTAATTTTTCTTTATTTTTTTGAGATAAAGTCTGGCTCTTCACCCAGGCTGGAGAGCACTGACCTGTTCTCAGCTGACTGTAACCTCCACCTCCCAGGTTCACCTATTCTCTTGCCTCTGCCTCCCGAGTAGCTGGGATTACAGGAACCTGCCACCATGCCCGGCTAATTTTTGTATTTTTAGTAGACAGGGTTTCACCAGGTTGGCCAGCCTGGCCTGGAACTCCTGATCTCAGGTGATCCACCTGCCTTGGCCTCCCAAAGTGCTGGGATTACAGGTGTGAGCCGTTGCACCCAGCCAACAGTTAATTTTTCTATGGCCCTGTTGATAGACATGTTAGAGTTCTTTCCAGTTTGAGTCTTTGATGCTACTGTGAACATTATTATACATATTTCTGGGTGAACATAAGCATTTATTTTCCTGGGAAATTGGTAGGTAACAATGTATAAATATATAATTACCTTTTGTAGTTACTGCTAAGTTTTTTAAAGGTATTGAATCAATCCAAACTACCACCATTGGGAGTTTGACTGGCTTCACATTCTAACTAACACTATTGGCAGTCTTTTTCTATGACTTTATTTTGGAAAATTTAAACATATGGGAAAGTTTCAATGAGTTGTGTTTTTGCTTTTGTTTTACATTCAGGGATAAATAACATATTGTAAAATACAGCAATCTTTGGTGTTTACTGTGAATTTTGAAAATTAAACATAAGCAATACCCCAAATAAGATGTAGAATATGTTCATTATTCCTTTTTTTTTTTTTGAGACAAGTTTTGCTCTGATTGTTCAAGCTGGAGGATAATGGCGTGATCTCAGTTCACCACAACCTCCACCTTCCGGATTCAAGCGATTCTCCTGCCTCAGACTCCTAAGTATCTGGGATTACAGGCATGTGCCACCAGGCCTGGCTTCTTTTGTATTTTTAGTCGAGACAGGGTCTCTCCGTGTTGGTCGGGTTGGTCTTGAACTCCTGACCTCGGGCGGTCTACCCGCTTCAGTCTCCCAAAGTGATGGAATTATAGGCGTGAGCCACTGTCCCCGGCCATATTTTCATTATTCTAAAAACTTGCTTTGTGGCTCTTTCTAGTCCGTTTCATATAGCTTGTCCAACAACTTCTCTGATTTTCATATTATAGATTAGATTAGTCTATTCTTGGCATTTGTATGAATTGATTTCTTCTGTCTCGGGGCTCTTTTCATTTGTAGTTTTTGAAATTCATTCATGTCATTGCATGGTCTGGATGTTGGGCATACTGGATACTGGGGTGTCATTGCTTCTAGGTCTTTCTGTGAACAAAATGAGGAAAATATATGTTGGGAAAAATATATAGATTTTACTAATTCAAAGTTTTCACCATAGGATTCTTTCCTATCTTTCTCCATTTTATATTTCAGACTCCCTTCTCAAAGGAGTTTCATTTAAAATAAATCCTAATCATAATTTAAAGAAATGCCCAGTTATGAAATATAACTTGAGAGTTAAGTGCTACACTAATATTAAGAGCAAGAGTAAGGTTCTTCTTTCAAAATCTATTCGTTTCTGAATGCATAATGTTCTTAATTATATACAGCATGTTCTCCAACTAAAATATAGTGGGCTTTAATTTTTATAGGTTAACATACATATAACTTTATATTGTTTTTATACTATATATTTATCCTAATTTCTAAAAGGTGAGTACTCCTGTATTTCAGTCAGAAGTTAAATCAATAAAGCTTCAATTTGTATCTTGAAGAAATCTTGGCCTAGTTTCGTTTTATCCTTAAATTATCGCACATATTAGGGAGGTACCATAGCCTAATGACTAAGACTTTTAGTTGCAGACAGATAACAGTTTGAGTCCTGGTGTTGTCTCATACTAGATCTATGATCTTTCATTAAGCTTATTTCTTTGAGCCTCAGTTTCCTCATCTATAGGTAGGGGTGATACTATATCGTGAGGAATTATGAGTGCATGTAGTACTTATTTTCCAATAAATTTTGGTAGTATTACAATAATAAAATAAAGTGCCTAAATTTTATTTGGTGATATTATTTTAGTGGAAGACAAGGAAATATGAGAGAGAGAAGAAAATTGACAAGAAGTTTTAGTTGCTAATAAAAGTCAATTTGCTTCTAGCTGATTCAGTATTCCTTAAATGACTATTCTAATTGTGAAAAACCATCATCTGAAGTTAAATAAATGGGAGATCAGGATATTTATTACTTTACAGGTGCAAATGATTTTAAAACTTGGGTTCTATGTTGTTAATTTATGGATTGTTTAGAATCATTAACTGCAAATTTGCTAATTTCAGATTTTCAGATTTTTAGATTCTTAGAAGTATAGCACAGGCAGTGAAATAGCTCAGAGTTTTTAATGGCTCAATATTTGTTGATAGGCACTGAAGGATAGCACAGAAGTAGAAATTGTGGATGAAAAAATGAGAAAAAAGATAGAACCAGAAAAATGGCCAATTCCAGGCCCTTCTCCACGCAATGTGCCACGAACAGACTTCTCTCAACTGATTGATTGTCCAGAGTTTGTACCAGGCCAAGCCTTTTGCTCACATACAGGTAACATCTTTTCTTCTAGCGCAATGTAACAGTAGGTGATTTGGTTCAATTTACTTATTTTTTAAGTCTATTTAGATTTGATAGGAAAGTTAAAGCTAACTGAAAGATTTTTGATGTCCCATATTGTATTCATAGTCTCACACACAGAGGTATAAATTAAATAAGGATTTAAGGATTATGAGGGAAACTGTCTTATGTTTCTTATTCTTAAACTATATGTGTACTTTGTCATGTACAGCATTTCTAACTATTTTATTTTTAAAAATAACTATAGATACATATCCAGTTTTCCCCTTATAAAACTGGAATAGTGTAATTGGATTATTCCAAAACGGTCTTATACTCAAGAGTAGGGTAATCTTCCTTTAATTTTATTACCAGTGTGCTTTAATCCTGTCTTGGAAAGATAAAATGACCTATATTCTAAATCAGAATTGGGGTTCTGTTTAATTTGGTTGTGTTTAGAATTTCCAAAAGCTGTAATGTTAATAATTTTTTCCTGGATCATTTTTAAGATATTCCCTCTTGGGAAAAAATGTGTGCTTAAACTTTTTTCAGTCAGGGTGATGATCTACTGAAGCTCTTGGATGTCATTTGATCGGAATATGCAGTGGAATAGGTGACTCACTGAAATGCCAATATAAATGCTGGAACAAATCCTGCTGCAAAAATGAAAGTGATCAGACTGTCTTCTGTTCAAGAGTGTCTATTCCCCCTCTTGGTGGAGGAAGTTGGGCCAACACTGCACTGGAGATAACCACCTTTGCAATAATGAGAGAGACCACAGGACTGCTACTCTTTTTAGAGGAGCTGCCTATTTCTGTGTAATTGGCCTGGGCTGCATGGGCTGCTTTTATTCATGGTGGGAAAGTTAATTATTATTATTCTAAAAATACTGCAAGAGTATGTTTTCTGCTTCCAGGGTTATGTACTTGTGTCCAGATGAATCGAGCAGAAAAAGAGGGGATTGAGTAGCATTTCCCAGATTTTTAAGTATTTTGCTATTTGATTTGCCTTTCAGTGTAGTGTACATTGCAAAACTCAGATATTGTCATGATGTTTCACGTGGACATAAGACTTACTAATGTGGACACTTAAGGGGTAAGGAATTTAAGAACTGGGCAAGGGTATTTTTTTCTTTACTCTTCAAAATGTATTTTTGATACATCTGTATGAGAGAACTTCCTATCAACAAAACATCGATGATGGACAGTCTCACAATATATTTTTTTATTTTGAGACGGAGTCTTGCTCTCTCATCTAGGATGGAGTGCAGTGGCATGATCCTGGCCCACTGCAACCTCCACCTCCCAGGTTCAAGTGATTCTCCTGCCTCAACCTGTTGAGTAGGTGGGATAACAGGTGCGTGCCACCAGCCTAGCTAATTTTTGTATTTTTAGTAGAGACCAGGTTTCACCATGCTGGTCAAGCTGGTCTGGTACTCCTGACCTTGTGATCTGCCTGCCTCAGCCTCCCAAAGTCCTGGGATTACAGGTATGAGCCACTGTGCCCAGCCAATATTTGTATCTTATGTTTCTTTGTCAGCCTTCTGCTTCTAATCCCTATAAGCAACTTGGGCACTCATTTTAAAAGTTGAAGAAAAGTGATATTATTTTAGGTAGTGGTTTTTAATTTATTTTTTGTTAAGATATAATGGGTGATTATATAAGTTAGATTTATTTATTGTATAAATTTGGGTTCAAGGTTACAGTTTTAGCCAGCTTATGAACAGACGTTGGGTAAGTTGGATAAAACAGAATATACTTTCTCTACAGGGTAGGTAAGATAGGTCAGTCAAGTTAATAATGCCTGTCCATTAACCGTTTATGCTACTAATAAAATTATAAGAATAAAATCATAATGTCTTGTACATTTTTGTGTTTTTTAATATACATTCATGCATGCACATGCATATTGTCTTAAAAAAGTGAATATAAAGATGTCAAATTTTAGGTTATTAGGTTATATATTAGAAACTAGTTGGTTAATGAAAAAATATAGAAAGATGGAGCATTCTTAGAGTTATGATGATTCACATTAGGTCATAGGAATAAATATGTAAATCACCTCTTTCCATGAATTCCCAAATTTCTGACCTTAATAATTTCCTAGTGATAAGAAAGCCTACTTTCTTTAAGTCATTGGAGAGTAGTGTGTCACCAAAAATTTGAAGTAGAAATAGGGATCAGAAGCATAGACTGTTTATACGTATCCATGGATAAAGAAAAGAAAGGAAACTGGCCGGGCGCGGTGGCTCAAGCCTGTAATCCCAGCACTTTGGGAGGCCAAGGTGGGTGGATCACGAGGTCAAGAGATCGAGACCATCCTGGTCAACATTGTGAAACCCCGTCTCTACTAAAAATACAAAAAATTAGCTGGGCATGGTGGCATGTGCCTGTAATCCCAGCTACTCAGGAGGCTGAGGCAGGAGAATTGCCTGAGCCCAGGAGGCGGAGGTTGCGGTGAGCCGAGATCGTGCCATTGCACTCCAGCCTGGGTAACAAGAGTGAAACTCCATCTCAAAAAAAAAAAAAAAAAAAAAAAAAAAAAGAAAGGAAACTATGTATCGTTTTAATCTCAAATTTGAAGACCTTAAAATTTTAGTAGCATAACTCTTTATATATGATTTCCGAGGGATTTATATGGTAAAATATTCTAACATGATTAGTCTTCTTCACCAAAGCAATTAAAATTTCTATTTTTTTTTCCTGTCTGGAAGTCTAATTGTCTAATAGGGGTTGAACTGAGCAGAAGTCTACCTTTATGCACCACAAACCATTGATTTTGGGAATGGTAAGATTACTTCTGAAACATAGGTTTTGCGGTTCTATGGATATTGTTAGTATTGTACTATCAGCTCTTTTTTTCTTTTTTTTTTTTTTTTTTGAGACGGAGTTTCGCTCTTGTTACCCAGGCTGGAGTGCAATGGCGCGATCTCCTCTCACCGCAACCTCCGCCTCCTGGGTTCAAGCAATTCTCCTGCCTCAGCCTCCTGAGTAGCTGGGATTACAGGCATGTGCCACCATGCCCAGCTAATTTTTTGTATCTTTAGTAGAGACGGGGTTTCACCATGTTGACCAGGATGGTCTCGATCTCTTAACCTCGTGATCCACCCGCCTCAGCCTCCCAAAGTGCTGGGATTACAGGCTTGAGCCACCGCGCCCGGCCTTATACTATCAGCTCTTAAATGAAAGGATTTCATTCATCAAAATTGAAAGGTGAGGTACCTGATAATTTTTTTTCTCTCTTTTTTTAAAATTTTAATAATCTTCACAAGGGCACTGTAATGTAGTATTTTTCTTTATTTTCTTCTTTTTTGTTTTCATTGACTCTTAAAACCACTCAATGAGGATTTTAAAAAGTGCCACACATAAAATATGTAATCCATTTTTCAAGAAACCTGTTTAATTACCGAGAACTGTGATCCTCCCAAGGTAGAAAGAAAAGTCAGATCAGAGATGAAATGTATATGGTGATTTATCTTTGGAGAGTTTAGTTGATAATTTTCAATTAATAAAAGCAGCGAAGAGAAATTTTGTATGTTCCTATAAATTAAACAAGTGTTAAACATAGATCTAAGGCCAGGTGCGGTGGCTCACGCCTGTAATCCCAGCACTTTGGGAGGCCGAGGTGGGTGGATCACGAGGTCAAGAGATCGAGACCATCCTGGTCAACATGGTGAAACCCCGTCTCTACTAAAATACAAAAATTAGCCGGGCATGATGGCGCACGCCTGTAGTCCCAGCTACTCAGGAGGCTGAGGCAGGAGAATTGCTTGAACCCAGGAGGCGGAGGTTGCGGTGAGCCGAGATCGCGCCATTGCACTCCAGCCTGGGTAACTAGAGCAAAACTCCGTCTCAAAAAAAAAAAAAAAGAAAAAAGAAAAAAAAAACAAACAAAAACATAGATCTACATTTTTTTTGTTTCTAAGTAAGTTTAATGTTAGATAATTTAAGTCATTTAAACTCATTTTGTCTTGGAAGATTAGAGGTTTACTATTATCCTTAATCTGTTCAGATGTATAGTTTGAAACCTTTTCATTATTAAAAAGATGCAGAAGACTACACAGAGCATTTATATAACTTAATTGTTATGAGGTTAACCCTGTTTTGAGTCTTACTCTAATAACGCCAGTTGCGAGTCTTACTCTAAGAATTGTATGTTTTCTTGTCTTACCCAAATTCTTTAGTGTTTTAATGTTACACTTTTAAGCATATGTGTTAGGAATGTATTGAAACTGTTTACTTCCCAGTAGAGGCTTTTTTTTTTTTTTTGGATGGAGTTTCGCTCTTGTTACCCAGGCTGGAGTGCAATGGCGTGATCTCGGCTCACCGCAACCTCCGCCTCCTGGGTTCAAGCAATTCTTCTGCCTCAGCCTCCTGAGTAGCTGGGATTACAGGCATGTGCCACCATGCCCAGCTAATTTTTTGTATTTTTAGTCGAGATGGGGTTTCACCATGTTGACCAGGATGGCCTCGATCTCTTGACCTCGTGATCCACCTGCCTCGGCCTCCCAAAGTGCTGGGATTACAGGCGTGAGCCACCGCTCCCGGTGAGGCATATTTTAAGCTTAAATAACATTTAGCGATCATTTTATAAGAAACAGCTGAGTGTGGTGGTGTACACCTGTAGTCCCAGCTGCTTGGGAGGTAGAGTTGGGAGGATGCTTGAGCCCAGGAGTTCTGAGGCCAGATTGGGTGACATATCAAAAGCTCATATCTTAAAAAAGAAGAAAAAAAAAAAAAACAAGCAAAAAACTACTAAGTGGATGTTTAAAGGTTTAATTTCTGTATTAAAAATGTAGCTAATTTTTTCTACTATATGCCGAGTGCTATTCATATATTAACTACATAGACTAATTGAGTTAATTTTCACAGTAATTGGATAGGAAACTGATTTAGTCCCCAGAGGCTATTATTGAGGTAGTGGTTCTTCATCAAAATTTTTTTTTTTTTTTTTTTTTCCCGTGAGATAGAGTCTCGCTCTGTCTCCTAGGCTGAAGTACAGTGGCATGATCTTAGCTCACTGCAATCTCTGCCTCCCGGGTTCAAGCAGTTTTCCTGCCTCAGCCTCCTGAGTAGCTAGGATTACAGGTGTGTCAGGTGTGTGCCACTACACCTGGCAATTTTTTTTTTTTTTTTTTTTTTTTTTTGAGACGGAGTTTCACTCTTGTTACCCAGGCTGGAGTGCAATGGCACAATCTCGGCTCACCGCAACCTCCGCCTCCTGGATTCAGGCAATTCTCCTGCCTCAGCCTCCTGAGTAGCTGGGATTACAGGCACACGCCACCATGCCCAGCTAATTTTTTTATATTTTTAGTAGAGACGGGGTTTCACCATGTTGACTAGCATGGTCTCGATCTCCTGACCTCGTGATCCACCCGCCTCGGCCTCCCAAAGTGCTGGGATTACAGGCTTGAGCCACCGTGCCCGGCTTTTTTTTTTTTTTTAATACATGGTTTCACCATGTTTGTCAGGCTGGTCTTGAACTCCTGACCTCAGGTGATCCGCCCGCCTTGGCCTCCAAAGTGCTTGGATTACAGGCGTGAGCCACTACGCCTGGCCAATTTTTGTATTTTTAATAGAGGCAGGATTTCATCATGTTGGCTAGGCTGGTCTGGAACTCTAGACCTCAGGTGATCCCGCTGCCTCGGCCTCCCAGAATGCTGGGATTACAGCCATGAGCCACTGTATCCGGCTCTTCATCTACTTTTAAGGCTTTATTTGCTGTATGAACATTGATAATTCGTAGTATTAGATATAGAGTTCTCTGGGCCAGGTGCAGTAGCTCATGCCTATAATCTCAGTGCTTTCGAGACTGAGGTGAGAGGATTGCTTGAGGCCAAGAGTTCAAGACCAGCCTGGGCAACAAAGGGAGACCCAGTCTACAAAATAATGTATATATTTTTTAATTGGCTTGGTGTGTTGTGTGCATGTGTAGTCCTAGTTATTCAGGAGGCTGAGTTGGGAGGATTGCTTGAGCCCAGGAGTTTGAGGCTGTAGTGAGCTATGATCGTGGCACTGAAACTTATGTAAGAGACCCAGTCTCTTAAAAAAATAAGTCTCGTATGGCTCATGAAAAAGAAAAAAAAAAAAAAAGGAAATAGTGTTCTCTGGGGTTGATGTTTTTCCCATTCCTATAAACTAGACTATTCATGTTAATATAAAGCTTGAATTTCACTTGTATTTTTTTTGTGTGTGAATGAAGTGGTGGTGGGTATGGTGTTAATAAAGTTATAGAGCACCAGTACCCAATAAAAATATGTGATCTATATATAAAATTCTAAAAATTTTAGTATTCTTTAAAATTATAAAACAGATGAAATTAATTTTCATATTTTAAATAGATATTTTATTTTAACTCAATAGATCCAAATGTTATATGCTCAGTGTAAAAATTAATGGCACTATTTTTTTTTAGTGGGATTAGGAGTACCAGGTCCTTAATGTCTGGCGTATATTTTACGCTTGTCCCGAGCTTGTTTCAGGACTAGCCACATTTGAAGTGATCGATAACTGCGTATAGCTAGTGCCTACTCTATTGAACAGCACAACTCTAGAGCTTTTCCTGTTATGAAATGATATATAGTCTTTTATTAGTAATAGAGTAATCCAGTAGTTGAGTCCTGGTTGAGTCCATGTGTACAAGGGAAAGATATTAAAGCTATCTGATTTTACTCTCGTCTATGTCTAGCATGTAGATGAATGTAAAATCTTGGAATGCTCTTCTTAAACCCATCTCAAAATGTGTAAATATTAAAAATATTTAGTAAATAATATTAGTAAATATTTAAAAAAGAATCTGTTAATTTATTTCAGCTTTCTGCATCTAATATTCTCTATTTTCAGTGAATTGACTTAGAGGAATACATAATGATGTGAAGAATTGTATGCTATACATTTTTAAATTTTATTGTGTATATTTGAGGCTTTCAACATGTTACAGAGTACATTTTTAAAAGACACCTTGTGTCCAAAGCCAGTCCATATTACATCGTCAAACCTGATCATGAATATAGCTTAAAATATTTAAATATTCTTTGATATTTTTCTTTTGAAAAAATATTTATAGGCCGGGCGCAGTGGCTCAAGCCTGTAATCCCAGCACTTTGGGAGGCCGAGGTGGGTGGATCACGAGGTCAAGAGATTGAGACCATCCCGGTCAACATGGTGAAACCCCGTCTCTACTAAAAATACAAAAAAAAATGGCTGGGCTTGGTGGCGCGTGCCTGTAATCCCAGCTACTCAGGAGGCTGAGGCAGGAGAATTGCCTGAACCCAGGAGGCGGAGGTTGCGGTGACCCGAGATCGCGCCATTGCACTCCAGCCTGGGTAACAAGAGCGAAACTGTCTCAAAAAAAAAAAAATTTATAAAAGAAGCAATTTGATTTTGTGTGTGTGTGTGTGTGTGAGACAGAGTCTGGCTCTTTCATCCATGCTGGAGTGCAGTGGCGCAATCTCAGCTCATTGCAACCTTCACCTCTAGGGTTCAAGCAGTTCTCTGCCTCAGCCTCCCGAGTAGCAGGGATTACAGCTGCCCACCACCACGCCCGGTGAATTTTTTTTGTATTTTTAATAGAGACAGGGTTTCACCATCTTGGCCAGGGTGGTCTTGAACTCCTAACCTCGTGATCTACCCGCTTCAGCCTACCGAAGTGCTGGGATTACAGGTGTGAGCCACTGCGCCCGACTGCAATTTGAATTTTATAATTTTGATTAAAAACAAACCTGCAGAAGTGATACTGTATAGAAAGACCTTTTAAGTTCCAACAGTTTTAAAGTGCTTTAAATGTTATTGCCAGGGCTGTGCGCTTTAGTGAGGTGACATTTTATTCTTTCTTTTTTTTTTTCTTGCGATGGAGTTTCACTCTTGTTGCCCAGGCTGGAGTGAGTGCAATGGTGCGATCTCTGCTCACTGCAGCCTCTGCCTCCTGGGTTCAAGCGCTTCTCCTGCCTCAGCCTCCCAAGTTGCTGGGATTACACGCATGCGCCATCACACCCAGCTAATTTTGTATTTTTATTTTTTTTTTTGAGACGGAGTTTCGCTTTTGTTACCCAGGCTGGAGTGCAATGGCGCAATCTCAGCTCACCGCAACCTCCGCCTCCTGGGTTCAAGCAATTCTCCTGCCTCAGCCTCCTGAGTAGCTGGGACTACAGGCGTGCGCCACCATGCCCAGCTAATTTTTGTATTTTTAGTAGAGACGGGGTTTCACCATGTTGACCAGAATGGTCTCGATCTCTTGACCTCGTGATCCACCCGCCTCGGCCTCCCAAAGTGCTGGGATTACAGGCGTGAGCCACCACGCCCGGCAAGCCAATTTTGTATTTTTGGTAGAGACAGGGTTCTCCGTGATGGTCAGACTGGTCAACAGTTTAAAGTATTTCAGTATGAGCCAAAGTAGTAAATGACAACACTGCATTTATTGCAGTAGGCAAACGTTAAGCCAAAGAAATGTGAAAAATAGGAGTAATAACTGCTTTAGTTTAGATCCTAGTAGAATGAGAGACTAATTTTACCTTGTATGAAGTATGCATTTAGCTTAACTATGGCTTAATAGCAATTGAGATTCCATAATTTCCTTATAATTTATAGATTTTAGTCTAAGATTTTGCAGAGAACTTGACTTCCTAATAGTTGTACTGGCATAATTAGGAAGTGACTCACATTGATATTCTTGAGAAGTTTGAATGAATGTCGTGGTCTGTGTAAGAGTTGGTGACACTCCTTTAATTATTTAGTGGCTTCACTGTTGAGTAAATCTTATAAGCTCTTCAGTTGAGACTGATCATGTTTTTGTGAAAAAACATCAAGCCCCAGTTAAGGAAAAAATGAAATGTATTTTATACGTAAGAAAAGCCATTATCATTTTAACTATAGAACTAACTTAAAATTTTAGAGTCTGCCCCAAATTCTCCAAGAATTGGAAGCCCATTGAGCCCAAAGCAAAATAGTGAAACAAGTATTCTTCAAGCAATGTCTAGAGGTTTGTCTACCAGTTTGCCTGACTTGGACTCAGAACCTTGGATAGAAGTAAAAAAGAGACATCAGCCAGCCCCAGTGAAATTGAGGGTAAGTTGTTACAGACTGAGTGAAGTATGATATGCCCTGGATGGAGTATAAGGTCAGTGCATTTTATGTTTGTCAGGTACACATGTAAAATTTGAAAAAGTTAAAAAAAAATTTAAATTTGTAATTGTTGACCTTCAGTAGACACTTACGGGTTATTGTATGAGGAAAATAAGTTGTATCAATTTTTAAAGTGTATTTTTTATTTCTGAACCTGATTTAAGAATTTTGGGGGCCGGGCGCGGTGGCTCAAGCCTGTAATCCCAGCACTTTGGGAGGCCGAGGCGGGTGGATCACGAGGTCAAGAGATCGAGACCATCCTGGTCAACATGGTGAAACCCCGTCTCTACTAAAAATACAAAAAATTAGCTGGGCATGGTGGCGCGTGCCTGTAATCCCAGCTACTTAGGACGCTGAGGCAGGAGAATTGCCTGAACCCAGGAGGTGGAGGTTGCGGTGAGCCGAGATCGTGCCATTGCACTCCAGCCTGGGTAACAAGAGTGAAACTCTGTCTCAAAAAAAAAAAAGAATTTTGGGAGGTGGGCACAGTGGCCCATACCTGTAATCACAGCACTTTGGAGGCTGAGGCAAGAAGATTGCTTGAACCAGAAGTTCTAGGCCACCTGGGCAACATAGGGAGACCCTGTCTCTACAAATAATTCAAAAAATTAGCCAAGCATGGTAGAGCGTGTCTGTGGTCTCAGCTACTCAGGAGGCTGAGGCAGGAGGAACACTCGAGCCCAGTAGGTTAAGGTTGCAGTGAGCCATGATCACACCACTGCACTCCAGTGCAGGCAACAGAGTGAGACCCTGTCTCAAAAAAAAAAAAAAAATTTTTTTTTATTTGGCTTTCTACTTGTGATTAATTTTAACTTAAATAATATTTCAGTTTTTTATAAAGTCAAAAAAATATGACTTTTTTTTTTCTTTTTTTTGAGACAGAGTCTTGTTCTATTGCCCAAGCTGGAGTGCTGTGGTGCAGTTTTGGATCACTTCAGCCTTTGCCTCCTGGGTTAAAGAAGAGTCTTGTGCCTCAGAAACTTGAGTAACTGGGATTATAGGCTCGCCTCACGATGCCCAACCAACTATTTTTTTGTGTGTTTCTGGTAGAGATGGGATTATGCATGTTGCCCAGGCTGGTCTCAAACTCCTGTCCTCAAATAATTTGTTTGCCTCGGCTTCCTAGAGTGCTGGGATTACAGGCATGAGCCTCTCTGCACCTGGCCAGAAAAAAATAAAAATTTTGAAGTTATACCCATGTTAATTATTTGTAAGGTTCTAGGGGTGTATATCAGGTTTATATATGTTTTGGTGATTTGATGCACAAAAAGAAAAGAAAATTGAATTTCTTGCCGGGGGTGCGTGAGGGAGTGAGATGGTGATATTTATAAAAGCAGTAGGAGATCCTTGTGGTAGTACTGCTCTGCATTTTTCACTGGTGGTAGGTAAACGAACTTACATATGTGTTAGGATTTCTTTGGTCTCAATCACAAATGAGTGCAAGCAAAACTGGGGAAGTTAAGCTAAGATTTATTTATATCGAAGTCAATACCTTGTTTGGGAGGTTGTAGTATATTTTTGTAAGATGCTACCATTGGGCGAAACCAGGATACATGAGCTCTCTACTATTTCTTACAACTGTATGTGAATGTATAATTATCTCAAAATAAAAAGTTCACTAAAAATAAACTTGGGAAGAATGCCACTCAAAAGATTCAAATATTGAAAGTCAGCTATCTAAAGGGGATGGAAGGTATTGAGAGAAGGACTGTGATGTGGAGGACCAGCAAATTGCTGATGGTAGCTGGTTTTCAAAGTGTAAGGAGAACTGTATAGTTTTATGGCCAAAGAATGCCAATATATCTAAATTATATGGTATTTTGGTGCTGCAGACCGAGGATCTGGCCTGGAGGAAACATGGCTTTAGGTTCTGGGGGCCTAGATATTTCAGAGATAACTGTTGAGGTAGCTCAGTTATTGACATAATTGTTAATAACTTTAAAAAAGTGATCTTTTAAAAACATTTAGAGTGGGCATAGAAATCTTAGTTGAACATTTTTCTTTAGAATTCTAACAACATTTTTCTTTTGTCAACTGGGTTTCAGTTTTTCTCTTGTGAAAGTCAGTACCTTCACATTCTTTGTATCAAGTGATTTTTTTTCTTCTTGAGATTCTGTTTTTTGAGACAGAGTCTCACTCTTGTTGCCCAAGCTGGAGTGGGGTGCAGTGGTTGGGATCTCAGTTCACTGCAACCTTCACCTTCTGGGGTCAAGTGATTCTCCTGCCTCAGACTCCTGAGTAGCTAGGATTATAGGTGCCTGCTACCAAGCCCAGCTAATTTTTCTACTTGTATTTTTGTTTATTTTTTTGAGACAGAGTCTTGCTCTGTTGCCCACGTTGGAGTGCAGCGGTGCAGTCTCAGCTCACTATACCTCCTGGGTTCAAGTCTCCTGTCTCAGCCTCTCAAGTAGCTGGGATTACAGGTGCCTGCCACCATGGCCAGCTAATTTGTTTTGTATTTTTAGTAGAGATAGTGAAGGGGTTTCATCATGTTGGCCATGCTGGTCTCGAATTCCTGACCTCAGGCGGTCCACCTGTCTTGGCCTCCTAAAGTGTTAGGATTACAGGCGTGAGCCACCATGCCCACCCGATTGCATGCTCTTGGTAAGTGAAAACGTCCCATGTACTTGGACATCTAGACTGGGCAGATAATAGGAATGCTGGTTCTTTTTCTCCACAATTGCAAAAAAAAAAAAAAAAAGGAGTACTTTTCTCTGAGACGTAGAATTTCTTAATGTATCTCATTCATTGGTGAAATTACCTTTTCTTTTTCTCTCCCAGCTTTGTTTTAGAGATTCAGAATAATACTAGGATATGTTCAAATTCTATCCAGCCCTAGCACCCAAAACATGAGCCCTCCCTTGTCAAATCTTATTTTGTTTAGAAAGCAATTCTTGGGCTTTTAGTTGGGAGCGATCTTTGTATAGTTTAAATTCTGAGATAAAGGGATTGGATTGACTGTTCTAGCTGTGTTCTATAGTTGGTTTTGCAAATACCTACTTTGATTGCCATACAATAGTTCATTCCTACTCTTTGTAACTGCCGTCTCTAAACTTTCTAGAACCCTGGGAGGATATAGCTTTTATCTCCCCGTTAGCCTTTCTTTGTATCAGTTCTAGGTTCCTATTTTTTCTGCTCTTGTTTATTATCAGTACAATCCCATTTATTTTCTGCTTTCCAGAAATTCATAAAAGTCTTTGATCTTCTGATGGTAATGCTTGTTTTCAGTATTGATGTGGATTTATGGTTTTCATTCTTTGCACTGTGTATTATTACTGCAAATAAGCATGCACACTTAAGTCATCTTCAATCCCTAATCTCTTCTTTTTTTTGAGACAGCATCTTACTCTGTTGCCCAAGCTAGAGTGCAGTGGCATGATCTCAGTTCACTGCAACGTCTGCCTCCTGGGTTCAAGCGATTCTCCTGCCTCAGCCTCCCAAGTAGCTGGGATTATAGGCATGTGCCACCATGCGTGGCTAATTTTTTGTATTGTTAGTAATGACAGGGTTATGCCATGTTAGCCAGGATGGTCTTGATCTTCTGACCTCATGTTCCACCTGCCTCGGCCTCCTAAAGTGCTGGGATTACAGGCGTCAGCCAGTGCACCCGGCCCTCAATCCCTAATCTCTTGATAATGGCCTTTTCCTGAGTGGGCGCTGTGGCTCACACCTGTAATCCCAGCACTTTGGGAGACCGAGGTGGGCAGATCACAGGTCAGAAGATCAAGACCATTTGGGCCAATATAGTGAAATCCCATCTCTACTGAAAATAGCAAAAAAAAAAAAAAAAAAAAAAAAAATTAGCCGGGTGTGGTGATGCACGCCTGTAGTCCCAGCTACTCAGGAGGCTGAGGCAGCAGAATTGCTTGAACCCAGAAGGCAGAGATTGCAGTGAGCCAAGATCCTGCCATTGCACTACTGCCTGGACGACAGTGCGAGACTCTTTATCTCAAAAACAAAACAAAACAAAAATCATGATCTTTTCCTCAGAAATTACAAAAACAAATTTAATAGTTTGATGTTTATTCTCTTAGACTTTTATCATGTACCTGCAAATGTGAAAAACAATATATAGTTTAAAATATATAATTAATGTTTTTAAAAATATATATTCACAGTGTTTTACAACTTGTCTTTTTTTAGTAAAAACATCATGGGCAGCCTTCTGTTTACTAGAGTGTTAGCTCCATCAGGACAGAGTTGTTGTTAAATTTATTGCTGTATGTCCCTTCCTAAAACAGTGCCTGGCTCAGAGGAAGCACTCAGATAATTATCAACTAACTAAGTAAATATTACTGGGACTGGGAATTTTGAAAGGGAAGAGTTGTTTTTTCCTAGACATAGGAAGTTAGCATGCACTGAAGGGTAAAATAGACCAGAGGATGACAAGTGAAAGTGACACCAAGGAGAAACTTATTTCCTTCTTCTGGGAGTTTTAGACTAGTTTACATTGTTAGAAGATCCAGGATCTGAAAGCTTAGACTTTTTTTTTTTCAAGGCAGAGTCTAGCTTTGTTGCCCAGTGTGGAGTGCAATCGCGCTGTCTTGGCTCACTGCAACCTCTGTGTCCCAGATTCAAGCAGTTCTCCTGCCTCAGCCTACTGAGTAGCTGGTACTACAGGTGCCCACCACTGCTCCCAGCTAATTTTTGTATTTTTAGTAGGGACAGGGTTTCAGCATATTGGCCAGGGTGGTCTCGATCTCTTGACCTCATGATTCACCTGCCTCTGCCTCCCAAAGTTCTGGAATTACAGGCGTGAGCCATTGCGCCCAGCAGCTGAGACTTTTAATGTAAGCCAACAGCTGTTTTAAGTTCTTTTTTGAGAACAGAGTCTTGCTCTGTCCCCCAGGCTGGAGTGCAACCTCTGCCTTCTGGGTTCAAACGATTCTCCTGTGGCAGCCTCTCAAGTAGCTAGGACTACAGGCACGTGCCACCATACCTGGCTGATTTTTTCATTTTTAGTAGAGATGGGGTCTTGCCATGTTCAAGCCAGTCTTGAACTCTTGGCCTCAGGTGATCCGTCCACCTTAGTCTCCCAGAGTGGTGGGATTACAGGCATGAACCACCATACACGGCGGTGGTTCATGTTTTTAAGTTCCATAGGAGGGGTAGACTTTGTTAACAGTTGCTGAATATTAGCATGAATTTGACATGAAAACTGGGCCATGTGGGGATAAGGATAGAGTATAGCGATTAGGTAAGAAACTATATTATTATCATTTTGAGGTAAAAACGTGCAGAATAAGGAAGATTATTGATTCTGAAAATCAAAAGACCTTGGTTCAATTGATTGATTGATTGATTGAGATGGAGTCTTGCTATTGTCGTCCAGGCTGGAGTGCAGTGGTGTGATCTTGGCTGACTGCAGCTGCCCTGCCTCCCAGGTTCAGATGAATCTCCTGCCTCAGCCTCCTGAGTAGCTGGGATTATAGACATCTACAACCACGCCAGGCTAATTGGTTCTATTTATAGCTGTGAAATCATAGGCAAATGCTTTCATATCTCTAGGCCTTTGTTTTTATTGGTAAAATGAATTAGTGTGAAAGGTAATGGTTGATTAAGACTGTTCAAACTCTTAAGAGTCTTTAATCTTTATTCAACTTTGTGGTTTTCTTTAGTCTTAAATTTATTGGGCCAAAATAATACTCACTTGATTTTCTTTTACAGTTTGGCTGTTAAACTAATAATTGAGCATAAAAGCTTGATATTACTTACTTGCAACACTGTTTTATGACATTTAATTTAAAAGTGATAGAACATTTTTTATATAAATTACCGATTTCTTCCTTCAGGAATCAATGTCTGTACCTGAAGGGTCATTAAATCAGCTATGTTCTTCAGAAGAACCAGAACAAGAAGAACTTGATTTTTTGTTTGATGAAGAGATTGAACAAATAGGACGAAAAAACACATTTACTGATTGGTCTGATAATGATTCAGATTACGAAATTGATGACCAAGACTTAAATAAGATTTTGATTGTAACTCAGACACCACCTTATGTGAAAAAACATCCTGGAGGAGATCGAACAGGCAACCATATGTCTCGGGCAAAAATCACATCTGAACTTGCTAGAGTTATCAATGATGGCTTATATTATTATGAACAGGATCTATGGATGGAAGAAGATGAAAACAAACACACAGCCATAAAGGTAATTGTTTCTGGCCAACATCTTTCTGCTGATGCTTTGTTTTGATTTTATGTTGCTATTTATATTCTTAAACTTGAGGCTTTATTTAATGAAATGTTGAATATAAACATATTTAACTAGAAAAATTTCTGGAAATATACCTGATAATTACCACCTGAGGAATCATTTTATTTTATGAAAGTAACAGTGTGATGAATACTATAATTATAAAAGAAAATTAGCACTCACTGAGTTAAACCCTTGCTTTTTTTTTTTTTTTTTTTTTTTTTTTAGGTGAAAATGCTAAGAACACCCTTTCTCATATGAAAGAATAAAAACAAGTTACTATGGACAGGCTTAATTCATATGCTCATTACTTACCTGGCTGTCACCCCAACTGTATGAGCCAGTGGCTTTAGAGAACACTGACTTTTCTTGCCCCTTTCTGTTTTCGCCACTTAGTCTATGGTGCATGATCCAGGGTTGTGGACAAACTGTAGATGACTTAACTGGATGATTGTCTCTGTTGATCCAGTAATTACTGTGGTGCTAGGGATACTTTTTACAACCTTGTTCTAAGTTTTATCTTCTTGCATTTCATTCACCCCAGATCCTGGTCCCTATCCTAGTTATTAAAGTAAAATAGAGAGCCAGAATGGTTTACTAGGTATCTGTACTACTTCAATATGAATTATAATGGTACAAGTAAGGGAATAAAAGGGATCTTTTTCAGCCCTTAAGGTTATCAGAAAAGCCCCAGTAGTTAAATATTTGTGTTCAGGACAAGGTATAATAAGGGAAAGTTATATAACATTATATGCCAAATAGGAAACTGATCTTGGTTGGAAATAAAGTTGTACGAAGAAAAACTGGCCAACTAGTGGCTGAGTAGTGGGTACTGCCTGTCGACGGGGTTTCATGTCATCAGCAAGAAGTGCACTGGCCTTGGCCCCTCATTTCTTTTCTTCCCGGAATCTGCAGTACTGTTAGCCTTCTGTAATTACTGCCTTCTTGGAGAACCCGCCTCAGGCTGTGATAGCTTGTTATATGACTTAGAGCCTGAGCAGTTCCCTGCTTGTCCTACTGCTGTGGGAAAGGAAGCCTGTTTTTATGATGCTTCTCAGTTGAAAGTCTTTTCTAGTGTAAGCATTTCTATTTTACTTGTAATAGAACAGAGATACCAGTAAATTCTACCAATAATCAGTTAAAATTCTTCTCCCATTCTCTATCCCTTTACCCAGCTTTGTTTTTCACTGTAGGATGTATCAGTATCTATAATGCTGTATATTTTACTTACCTTTATTCTCTTGAAGAAAAACCATGGATGTAATACCATTGATGATAGGACTTTTTTGTCTATTTTGTTTATTACTTTTGTATCTCTAGTGCTAGAATAGTTTCTGGCACAAAGAAATGTTCAATTTGTATTTCTTAAAGTGGATAAATAAATTATGAAGTAAACATTATGCACTAACTAAAGGAACCTAATAACTGTATATAATACTGATTCTGTGGGAAATGTTTTCAGTCTTCCAAGTAACAAATTTGTAAGCCCTCTTGAGAAACATAGCATTTGTAGGTGATTATTTCCTTAAAGTGTAGACAACAATAATTAAAAGCCGTGTATTGAGTTCTTGAGGCATGTACTGATCTTATTCAGTAAATATTAATCAAAGGAAAGTAATCTTGGCTGTATAACTTTAACCTTTATAATTGCAAATATATCGTACATTGACCTGATTCTTAGGTGCATTCTCATCATTTAACTCATTCTCTTTGGTTCTGATTCTGTGCCCTACATGTAGTTTCTCATTAGACTTGTACTTTTCCATTGGGTCTGCTTAAAGGGAGAGAAATCAGTCATTTAACATATTCCATTGAACACTTACTATGTGCCAGACGCTGCTAGAAACTGGGCTCAGAGTGAGAAGGTAAAAAATAGGGTTTCTATATGCCTAAAACCTACAGATAATTGGGGGAACAGACATAAAAATAAACCCATGATAAGTACTTAATCACAAATTACAATAAATATTCTTTTTTATTATTATTGTACTTCAGGTTTTGGGGTACATGTGAAGAACATGCAAGATTGTTGCATAGGTACACACATGGCAGTGTGGTTTGCTGCCTTCCTCCCCATCACCTGTATCTGGCATTTATCTCATGTTATCCCTCCCCAACTCCCTACCTTCCACTGTCCCTCCCCTATTTCCTCACCCACATACCCCAGTGTGTGATGCTCCCCTCCCTGTGTCCATGTGTTCTCATTGTTCAACACCCACCTGAGTGAGAACATGCGGTGTTTGATTTTCTGTTCTTGTGTCAGTTAGCTGAGAATGATGGTTTCCAGGTTCATCCATGTCCCTACAAAGGACACGAACTCATTGTTTTTGATGGCTGCATAGTATTCCATGGTGTATATGTGCCACATTTTCCCTGTCCAGTCTATCATCGATGGGCATTTGGGTTGGTTCCAAGTCTTTGCTATTGTAAACAGTGCCAAGTGAACATTCGTGTGCATGTGTCCTTTAATAGAACGATTTATAATCCTTTGGATATATACCCAGTAATGGGATTGCTGGGTCAAATGGAATTTCTATTTCTAGGTCCTTGAGGAATCACCACACTGTCTTCCACAATGGCTGAACTAATATACACTCCCACCAACAGTGTAAAAGTGTTCCTATTTCTCCACATCCTCTCCAGCATCTGTTGTCTCCAGAGTTTCTAATGATTGCCATTCTAATTGGCATGAGATGGTATCTCAATGTAGTTTTGATTTGCATTTCTCTAATGACCAGTGATGATGAGCATTTTTTCATGTTTGTGGGCCTCATATATGTCTTCTTTTGTAAAGTGTCTGTTCATCTCCTTCACCCACTTTTGAATGGGCTTGTTTGTTTTTTTCTTGTAAATCTGTTTTAGTTCTTTGTAGATTCTGGATATTAGCCCCTCAGTCAGATGGGTAGATTGCAAAAATTTTTTCCAATTCTGTTCATTGCCAGTTCACTCTAATGACTGTTTCTTTTGCTGTGCAGAAGCTGTGGAGTTTGATTAGGTTCCATTTGTCTATTTTGGCTTTTGTTGCCAATGCTTTTGGTGTTTTAGTCATGAAGTCCTTGCCTATGCCTATGTCCTGAATGGTTTTAGCCTAGATTTTCTTCTAAGGTTTTTATGATGTTAGGTCTTATGTTGAAGTCTTTAATCCATCTGGAGTTAATTTTAGTGTAAGGTGTCAGGAAGGGGTCCAGTTTCTGCTTTCTGCACATGACTAGCCAGTTTTCCCAACACCATTTATTAAACAGGGAATCCTTTCCCCATTGCTTGTTTTTGTGAGGTTTATCAAAGATCAGATGGTTGTAGATGTGTGGTGTTGCCTCCGAGGCCTCTGTTCTGTTCCATTGGTCTATATCTCTGTTTTGGTACCAGTACCATGTTGTTTTGATTACTGTAGCCTTGTAGTATAGTTTGAAGTCAGGTAGCATGATGCCTCCAGCTTTGTTCTTTTTGCTTAGAATTGACTTGGCTATCGGGCTGTCTTTTGGTTCCATATGAAGTTTAAGATGGTTTTTTTCAGTTCTGTAAAGAAGGTCATTGGTAGCTTGATGGGGATAGCACTGAATCTATAAATTACTTTAGGCAGTATGGCCATTTTCACGATATTGATTCTTCCTAACCATGAGCATGGAATGTTTCTCCATCTGTTTGTGTCCTCTCTTATTTCATTGAGCAGTGTTTTGTAGTTCTCCTTGAAGAGGTCCTTAAATCCTTTGTTAGTTGTATTCCTAGGTATTTTATTCTCTTTGTAGCCATTGTGAATTGCAGTTCGTTCTTGATTTGGCTCTCTTTAAGTCTGTTATTGGTGTATAGGAATGCTTGTGATTTTTGCACATTGATTTTATATCCTGAGACTTTGCTGAAGTTGCTTATCAGCTTCAGGAGATTTTGGCCTGAGACAATGGGGTCTTCTAGATATACAATTATGTCATCTGCAAATAGAGACAATTTGATTTTCTCCTTTTCTAATTGAATACCCTTTCTTTTTCTTGCCTGATTGTTCTGGCTAGAACTTCCAATACTATATTGAATAGGAGTGGTGAGAGGACATCCTTGTCTAGTGCCAGATTTCAAAGGGAATGCTTCCAGTTTTTACCCATTCAGTATGATATTGGCTGTGGGTTACAATAAGTATTCTAAAAGAAAAAAAAAAACAGAATGTGATTTCGTTGAGTAGTCAGGGAAGGCCTCTGAGAAAGTCAGTAATAGTGAAATCTGAAGGAAGTAGGACATAACCAAGCAAAGAATAGGGAAACAGTATTCCAGGAAGAGGAAACAGTAAATGTCAAGGATGTGAGGCAAGAAAGAATTTGGCACATTTGAGCAACTGGAAAAAAGGTCAGTTTGCCTATGATATTATATAAAAGGTTAATTATAGTTGAATGGACAGGAGTCAGATCATTTATGTGCCATGTTAAATAATGTGTAATTTATCTAAAGTTCAAATTCAGTATCTTAGTTTTGCAAAGGCAGTGCGACATGATCTAATTTTTGTTTTTAGTAGATCACTCTGGTTGCTTTGGCAGAGACTGGATTGTACAGGGACAAGAGTGGGCAGAGGAAATCCAGTTAAGAGGCCGTCCATACAGAATATGAAGTGGTAGGCTAAGACAAACAGGTGACAGAGGAAATACAGAAGTGAGAAGACTATCTCATCTGATCCTTAAGAGATGATTATATAGGAGTTGTATAGGAAAGTGTGTTGTTGTGGAAGTCAAAAGCTGGCTCCAAGAGAAGAGAATAATCAGGTGTGTCAGCAACTTTATAGGTTGAATTAGATAAGAATAAAAAGTATGCCAGGCGTGGTGGCTTACGCCTGTAATCCAAGCACTTTGGAGGCCAAGGCAGGCGGATTACCTGAGGTTGGGAGTTCAAGACCAGCCTGACCAACATGGTGAAACCCCATCTTTAAAAAAAAAAAAAAAGAAAAAGAAAAAGAAAAAGAATGAAAAGTATGTCAT